TATTTTGTGCCGATGTGGGCTGGCCTGAGAATGGTGACGGATTTGGTTTGACCGACGACGTACGATCGGATAGCCGGTGATTTCGCACGACCGAGAGTACGCGCAGCAAACGATTCCGAACTTATTCCAGACAACTGCGACCCCTGGGACTAGCGATAAATCCTCACGTTCTCCGAGAAATCGGGACCGTCATGACTCAAGTAGCCCTAGATCGATACGTGTAACCCATAAACAGCCGCCCGTTAGTGAGAGACGCTAAAATCGCAAATTGAGTGAAATCGATCGTGAAATTGAGTCCGGACTTTGGTGTTGAATTTCGTGGGCGAGCACGACTATTTTTGCAAGGACGACGTCATTTTTATGTGGCCAAACATATTTGGGTTCGGTAGAGTCAAAATTGGAAAATTTGACCCGGGACCGGAAAATTACCGTTTTGCCCTTGTACCCTTAAGTGGGAATTCCGAATTTTGGACATAATTGGACAATATTTTGGGGTTTAAATTAAGGTCTTATCAGCCCCAATAATTCAAAATATTGAGGACAAGATTGCCCCTCCACTATTTGAACTCGATTGGATCACAACCCTTGGATTAGAGGTAAAATGGGCATTATGGGAAGTTGTTCACCAACCCCACTTACCCCTTTGTGCATATCACTCCCTTGTCTCTCTCTCTCTCCTTTATTTTTTCCCCCAAAGCCACCGGTTCCCCCTCTCCTCTCCCTCATCCCGCGAGCTCCTCCCCCTCCCGACTGTGCGCTGCCGCCGGTGTACCGCCGCCGCCCCTCGTCGGTGCCGTCGCCGGTGCTACCACCTCATGCCTCACCGCCAGCACCATCCCGTCCCCCTTCCTCTCCCTCTTGCCATATCTCTCTCTCTCTCTCTCTCTCTCTCTCTCTCTCTCTCTCTCTCTCTCTCTCTCTCTCTCTCTCTCTCTCTCTCTCCCTCTCTCCCGTTCCCCTCTCTCTTTCTCGGCCGCTCAAGGGCCTCGCCGAAGCTGCCGCTCGCCATTACTGTTCTGGCACGGATCCACAGCTGCCCAGCCATCCTCGCCACTTGCTCAGCCTCATTTCAAGCTTAGGATTCCAAGTGAGTATTACCCTAAATCCTAAATAGGCTCATTTGTGTTTCTAGATGAGTTTTAGGGGTTAATTAGGGTATTTTAGGGGTTAAATGGTGGAGGCTGTTAAGGGCTGATTTTGTGGCGCTTTCGGTGACCGAGGATGATGATTTGATCGAGGTTTAGTGGCCCGTTTAGTGCTGTGATGTGGCGAGGCATGGGTGCGGTAATTTGGACGAAATTGTGGACTTAGCGAGTGAAATTGGTAGATCGAATGGTGGCTGTTTTTGTGGCTATTTTATGGGCTTAGTGCGATAAATTAATGGAGGTTTAGTGGCCCGAGAGGCACTGTTCAATGGTTGGACAGATTGGATCGGAATGGCCCAAGTTTGGAGTAAATTCGGGCCTTAAATATGGATTTTAGTGCGCGCCTCATTTGGTCTTTGTGGTGGCTGTTTAGAATGATGTTTTGGGGAGTTTAATGGAGCATATGAAGATATTTATTGGTCTAGAATGACCAATGCGGTGGCTGCCCACAACGGGATTTGAATTGGGCGAGGCGCGATCAATTTGGAGTTTAATTGTGTAATTACCGGGAATGATCGCATTGATTGATTAACTGGCTGAATGGTCCTTGTTTGTGATTGGTTTTGTGATGCCATGTCGCATGTCTAGCGGGACTAAGAATGGAATAGCTTGGCGGGCCTGGATTGCGCGAATTCTTATTGACCCGGTTGTGTGAATTTGTGCATGGATTGTGTGTCAAGTTGGTGCCATGGCTGATTTGAATTGATTGTCAGATTGGGCATGTTAATTCATGAAATTGAATATGCGTAGTGCAAGTTGAGCATGTTGCATCGTGATTTGAGTAAGTGGTGTTGTGCAAGTGAATGCCCAAATGTGAACATTATAGCCATGAGTATGCATCTCAAGCATTGGCACGGCATATGCATATACGAGCGTGCCCGAATGACATGTGCATTGTGATCACCTAAAATGCACTGATGCGTCTTATGCGGAGTTTAGATAAAAATTGGTGACTGTGAATGTGTGATCACAACAAACCTCAATACGTTTTACGCGGGGTAGTAAACCCGTCCTGAGGCGTGTTACGCGGGACGATGCCCGGTTTACCAGAACATGACCAACCTGATGCGTTTTACGCAGGTTATGTGTCATGAGCCTAATGCGTTTTACGCAGGCCAGAGATCGATCTCGAAGTGATAGACCTGATGCGTTTTACGCGGGTCGGACCTGATGCGTTTAACGCGGGTCGCATGAGAAGTTGATAAATGGCAAGTGTGCTAGCGTGCAAGTGTGCAATAATGCATTGATGAGGCATGAGCATGAGTGCGAGCACGAGCATATGCATGACATGCATCGTGTCATAGTGATACGCATTTATGTGCCGTGATTGAATTCTATGACGTGATTGCAATTATACCAAATGCCTAACCTGCAGGGTCAAGTAAGGTTCGGATTTGGGCCGAGGGCCTGAATCATTTATGTTTCGACTTGTGTGGTTGTTTAGTGCTCGTCAGGAGGTGCATGTTAGTCTAGTTTAGGTTTAGGGAACCTATTCGCTGAGATTATTCTCATTATTGTTTAAACTACACTTTTCAGACCCCCAGCGTTGAGATATCGAAAGTTCCAGTACGTTTTGGGATTCCACTCCGGATAGAGTGGACGAGGACGATACGCCCCGTAGGGAACGGGGAGTCGTATATTAGATATTATACTATAGTATGGGTGGACGTGGGGGCGACACATTACCAGATCCACGAATATGTAGCGTGGTGCTTCAGGGACGGTCACGGAGAGTATGGTCCTCTCCAAACTTTTGATGTCCCATTTACCGAGCAGGGCACGAGGTACCCCCAGTGTCCCGATGGGGAAGTGACTGACCCTGGTACCTCAGCTAGGGAGAGCTCGAGTTCCAATGGTGTACCTGTAGAGTACGAGATGAATGAGGCCGATCCGGTGGATATGGAGCTAGATGACGGAGAGCCGGAGCCGATCGAGGAGGACCTCGTACCGGAGGCCGAGCCTGAGGATATGGTCTCGGAGGAGTAGGCTGCAGAGGCCGAGTCTGAGTCGATCGGGTTCTGAGGAGGAGATGCCTGATAGCTCTTCATCTTCGGAGTCCTCTGATTCCGACCCAGACTAGGCATCGTAGGAGTTAGCGTTCGCCTCAATTTGGTAGGGCCAATACCTTTTTGACCAGTGCCCCACCTTTAGTAGTAGACTAACCCCCGAGCCACTTACCCCTTTTTGTCAGTAGTGGCCTTTGACCCGTTTTTGATTTCTCGATGATCGGGTTGTACAGGGATATTGTATATGGTTCCCAGTAGCAATGCAAGTGTTTATTTTGTAACCTTGTTATTCATTTGTGGCTATCCTTGGTTTGGTGTTGTATTATTGTCCGGGTGTTTGATTACTTCCGCATGTGCTTTAAATCTTTGTGTTGGGCGTTAGGTCGGTGACGCGTTCTGAGACGTCGCACATTGAATTCGACCACGGTAGGAATGCTCGCGCGCCGTAGGGTTCAGGGCGTGACAGATTGTTTATACAACATATGGAATATTCTACCATATATGAAAATCACATACCCTATAATAGATAAATTAACCAAGTCCGAGTAGCTTTTATCAAGAGTAATGTGCAATCTTATCAATATGTTAAACAAATTATCGGTATGGATTGATTGTAATATTTTTCAACGGCAAGAGATATAACCTTACGATTAAGTCAGTTGACGATAAAAGCCCTTTTTCAAATATGGTGTTGCCTTTTTTGGATGCTATGAGAAAATTAAATTTCATATGTGAAACTTTGTCAACGTTGTTCCCAAATTTATAGGCCTAATTCCCTAAAAAATCTCAAACTTTATGTCAAGTCCCAAATCTGTCTCAAATTTTTTTGTTTCAGAAAAACCTCAAACTTTATGTCCAGTCCCAAATCTGCCCCAACTTTTTTTTGTCTCAAAGAAAATCTTAAACTTTAAGTCCAATCCCAAATCTACCCCAAATTTTGTTTTGTGTAAAAAAAATCGACCAAAATTCAATTTATTTTAAAAAATATACCCCATTGATCCGGTCCAAACTCGACATGGCACTTTCACATCGATAATAAATCTATATCAACAAAGTAATGGGACTTTTTTTTAGACAAAGAAAAAATCGGGGCAAATTTGGACTGAACCTAAAAATTGAGGTTTTTTTAAAATTAAAAAAAGTTTTGGGATGGATTTGTTATTGTCCCTAACTTTCATATCCTAGAACAGTTTTATTTTGGAGAATTTCAATAATTTTATTGCGTTGGATTTGTTATCAAAGTGAAAATGCAACGTTGGTATGTATTTATTGCTTCATTACTTTGTTGATGGATTTGTATAATTCTAAGTGATTCATATACAACCTGACACACTAAAATTCAATTGAAAAATGAATTTTATGACTCATATTGCTACCTCTAAACAGGTTTGAATCTTACGACTCATATTACTACCTCTAAACAGGTTACATGTCACGTGGATGGGACCTATCCTTGCCTATTTGTTTTCTTTATTATTCACATTTTGTTATATTGACTATGACACTGTATAAAGTATTTGTTAAACAGGGCGATGATTTAAGTCTGAGTCATTTTGTTATTTGGACAGCTTGTAATTACATGTCTTTGATTTTATTTTTTGAAGCTCCTTGATGCGCGTGCATTTTAAATTTTAGAAAAAGAAATCAAGCAAAGAGAGACTGTATGCGATTTTGTGACTCGTTACTTTTACAATTTTCTCACACCTAATCAATGTTTGTGCTTTAGCGGGGACCGGTCAACTAAAAGAATACTAGAAAGCGACCAGGACCGGAGTCTTCTACCAAGCAGCAACTTGAGTATTAACTGGTGTTTAGTTAAGATCTTAACTATGGTTAGATTACACGCCTTTCTTTTTTGCTTAAATTGCTTTTTCTTCGACGCACCCCTTTCTTCATCCTCATTTGCACTCAAGTCTCTTGGCCTTCTTCGTTTCTTCATCGTTCTTGCTCTGTTTCGCTCTTCTCCTCATTTGCACTCAAATCTCTGTTTCGCTCTTGCTCCCCTTCCTTCATCCTCATTTGCACTAAAATCTCTTGGCCTTCGTCGTCTCCCACCACTCTTGCTCGCTCTTCTCCTCATTTGCACTCAGATCTCTGTTTCGTCCTTGCTCCACTTCCTTCATTCTCATCTGATCTCAAGTCTCTTGGCCTTCTTCGTCTCCCATCGTTCTTGCTCTGTTTCGCTCTTCTACTCATTTGCACTCAAATCTCTGTTTCGTCCTTGCTCCCCTTCCTTCATCCTCATCTGCACTCAAGTCTCTTGGCCTTCTTCGTCTCCCATCGCTCTTGCTCTGTTTCGCTCTTCTCCTCCGCTCAACCGTTCTTCTTCCTCCTCGGCTTCTTCTTCTTCTTCTTGTTCATTATCTGCTGCTCTTTTTCATCACTCTCTCTCTCTCTCTGTTTTCGCGCTCTTTGTTTCTAGGACAAAAAATCAAAGAAAAATGTCTATCGATTCTGCCGTTTCAATCGCGTGGGATGTCGTCAAGATCGTGTTTGTTCCCATCAAGCATCGATTCGAATACGTCATGTGCTCCAAGAGATACGACAACGGTCTTCGGAAGGAAGTTGAGAATCTGAACTACGAGGCTGATAGGGTCCGCAGTGCCGCAGAAGACGCCACAAACAATCTTCAGAATACCCACGAATGGGTCGAAAAGTTTCTGGCTAGTGCTGAGAAGGCCTTGAGCGAGGCGGGAGATCTGTTGGATAAATTCGAAAAGATGAGCAAGACTTGCTGCCATGGGACTCTTCCCGACCCCATTTGTCGCTATCAGTTCAGCAGACAGGCCAAGCACAAGACCGATGACATTAAGAATCTCATTCTAGAAAACAAAGACAGGGAGATCTCCTTCAGCCATCCTGGTCCGGGTAACGTCGCTGCTTCAACTCTAGCCTGGAGGGAAGGCAAAGATGTCGTCCAGTCGACCACCGTGACGGCCTTCGCATCTTCTGCCTCGACATCAATTAAGCTTAGGGAGGATGGCGTCTTCGAATCCAGATCTTCTGTCATACAGAAGATCATGGATGCTCTCGCCGTTGACACGAACAGCATGGTCGGGGTTCACGGGTTAGGCGGGGTCGGCAAGTCCACCCTTTTGGCAGATGTCGAAAGGAGAATAAGGGAAGAAAATATGTTTTATCCGGTCGCTAAGGCCGACGTGACGCAAAATCCGGACATCAAGACGATTCAAGAAGAGATTGCGCGCTGTTTGGGCCTTAGTGACATAAAGAAGGAAGAAAATGTCAAATTGCGAGCGAAGCTTCTGCGCGAGAGGTTGGAAAATGAGGAAAGGAAGAAGAGTAAGGTCCTCATAATATTGGACGACCTGTGGGAGCAGCTCGACTTGAAATTAGTCGGCATTCCTTGCGGACCTGACAACAAAGTTATAGGATGCAAGTTGTTGTTGACGGCGAGAGAACAACGTGTTTTGCGAAGGGAAATGCTCTGTGACATTGCCTTCCGCCTTGGTGGCCTGGACGACGAAGAGGCAAAAATATTGTTTGAGACGACGGTGGGAGGCAAAGTTCGAGTTGAGTTAGAACCCTTGGTGGGGGAAGCACTCCGCATATGTGCAGGTTTGCCTTTCCTAATTCTCGCGATAGCAAGACTTTTTATAGACACTAGTTACTCTGAATGTGAAAATGCTTTGAAACAAATTTGGGACGAAGAAACCGGTGAGGTGATTGATAAGACATTACGAGTAAGTTATGACCGTATAAAATGCGAGGAGGCAAAGTCATTGTTGCAACTTTGTGCTGTTTATGGTGTCTCTAAGCCCTCTCTTGAAAATTTGGTGAGGCATGGCGTGGGTTTGGGGTTATTTGGAGAAGATAATAGCATGGAATATGCTAGAAATAGGTTGAGCATACTGATTGATACTCTTCAAGCCTCCTCCCTGTTGTTACACAGTGGAGAAGATGATGGTTTCAAAATACATGACTTGGTTCGTATGTTTGTTGCTTCGATCATTTCAAGAGATCACCCTCTTCTCGTGTTGAAAGATGAGTCAGTTGCAGAGTTGCCGAAGGACAAGCTCAAAAGTTGTGGGGCGATATGCTTTCCCAACGTTGACTTGGAGCAACTTCCCGAAGAATTAGATTGCCCCGATTTGCAAATCTTTTTGTTGTTCACAAACAAGAATTCTTTTGAGGTCCCATTTTCATATTTCAACTTTATGAGAAATCTCATGGTCTTAAATCTTACTGGGATACATCTCAGTCGTTCGCCTTTGCCGTTTCAATTCTTGGAGAAGTTACACACTCTGTGTCTTGATCATTGTTTGTTAGAGGACGTGGCCATTCTTGGCGAGCTAAAAGAGCTGCAAATTCTCAGCATTCAATACTCAAACATTGATCGATTGCCAAAAGAAATAGGGCAACTAACGAAGCTGAGGTTGTTAGACTTGAATTATTGTTCACGACTTGGGACAATCGAACCAGGTGTGCTTGGAAGCCTGATGAAATTAGAGGAGTTGTATATGCAGAATAGCTTTCACCAATGGAATGCTGCGGACCAAACTCCACCAACTAATGCCAATCTTATAGAGTTGAATAACATGAAGAATCTCTACACTCTACATGTATCCATTCCCAATCCGAGTGTGCTCCCAGAGGATTTGAACGTCAAGAAATTAACCAAGTACAGAATCCGAATAGGTAATGCGTGGCGCTGGGAGTGCAAAGGATCGAGTACATTGGAGCTCCGGTTGGATCCATCAAGCGATGTTCTTCGGAAAGAATGCATACAAAGTGTCTTAAGCAAAACTGACGATCTGCTTTTGGAGGAGTTGAACGGAAGTCAGCAAAGTATTTGCGCGTTATCCCCAAAAGGTTTTCCAGAATTAAAGCATCTACAGGTCAAGAATAGTTCCTCCATCCGTTACATCCTCCAATCGCCATCCCGTACATATTTTAAGGCGTTGGAGTCGTTACTTCTCAAGAATCTCATCAACTTGGAGAAGATATGCCACGGCCATATCTCCTCCAAATCCTTTAGCACGTTAAAAGTAGTACGAGTCGAAAGTTGTGACAAGATGGAAGTATTGTTTCCTCTTTCAGTGGTGAGAGGACTTCCAGAGCTAGAAGAGATCAAAGTTGTCGGTTGCAAGTTAATGCGCGGCATTGTAGAAGCTGATGATTGTGGCAAAGTGGAGTTGCATAATTTGCGTGTATTGAAATTGGAGGACTTGCCAAATATCAAGAACTTTTTCAACACAGGGTCGGCTCCTTCGTGTAGTACATCAGACGACCAAGTTAGCACTCAAATCGCATTCTTCAATGGGCAACAGGTAACTATTTATTTACTTTTCCTTTCTTTGCTAATTAGATGTAACACAGATTATGATGCTTATTCAATTTGTTATTTTCAGTTCAGTTTCTTCCTAATTGCCTTATCTGTTCATGCCTTCTCTGAAATTAGATAAAGCAATCTTCCTTTTCTCTTAATTGGGTAGATATCCAACTAATTATATGAAATCCATGTAAATTTAGTTTGTGATAGGTTCTGACTTACTTTCAACTTTTATGTTGCAAGTATATTAATAGGGCTTGATAAAGCAAAATTGAACGGAATTTTGGCATTAAAAAAATTCTATAAGTAAAGTAATTTCTCATCTTTCGCAATGGATTCCGTTGAATTTAGTAATCAAACTTTGTTATTATCCACACAATGTAACAGTATAGGTGACTCTCTTAAAATCAATACGAAGAATGGGAAGGAGGACTAGGCCTTTAAATAAAAGCAACTATGCTAATCTAATTGATGTACGACTTTTGTGTATCTTGTTTAAAAAAGCACTTAGTCATTGCATAAGGCCCTGAAATTATAAGGGTACAGAATTTTGTGCATGTTCATGCACGCATATAGCATAGATAGATTTATTTGGACGTACTTTTGGCATCACAAACACAGACTCGTGTTTGATAGCCTGTTAAATTGGTTACTGATAGTTATTTACTAAAAGGTAAGAGAATTCAGTAAACCAAGGACAAACAATTGCCCAGTTAAGGAAAACGCACCACAATTTTGTCAGGCAAAAATTTGCTGCGGCCATTTCGTTGACTAGACTTATGATGTCCGTGTTTCACTGTTCTTCCCATGCTTTGAGCTTCCATGGAGAGAGCTCGCTTTCAAAGAGCCTTTGCGGCTTTGCTTTTTCATTTTTTTTCGTTGTAATCTTGTCATGGATGACAATAGTCCAATGAACGAAACCCAAAAAAGATAAACTTGTTGTATGGATGGGAGCAATGGCTGATGGCGAGGTAGTTAGGAGATCGCGAGCAACTTTTCAGATGAAGAATTTTCTAGAGTTAAAGCAATGAACTTCTGAAAAAAAAAACTAGTAACTCTTTACAAGAAAAAGAAGAAAGAAAAACAGAAAATAAAGCTTTCCATTGTAATCAGGGATAATTGGGTCTTTTTACCTGAAACTTTATGGTCTCAGACATGTAGGCTGCGGCTTAGATTCCCCCTTAAGGAAATAACAACAACAAAGACTATTACTTGGGATAGGTTATAAGAGCTTACCTTATAGGAAGTAATTTAGCCCTTTTTTTTGTCATAAAGTAATTGAGCTTGAAAGTACATTTCGCAGATTAGCCATTTTAGTTGAGTCTTTTGACTTCTCCAGGCGAAGTGGAAGAACGTTTTAATGGAAAATGAAAAAGAGTAATTTTCAGGCGGGTCCACTCTGACTAAACTAAAAGCAAATATAGGCCATTCATCTAAATTGTTGTTTATGCAGCCAAATAGGCTGTGAAAATGGGCTACGTTGACTTTCTTAGATACTTTTAATCTTCTATAATTAGATATTTACGACTATTTTCAATAATTTGACTCGAGTATATGTATGAGCTACCGTTGGTGTCTAACCGTTGGATCCTCTAGCACCGGTAATGAAAATTAATGAATCTTAAAAGGAAAATTTAATCAATTAATGAGATATTGAGTTCTTTCAAGTGTGGAATAATGTTAGTAAGATTTGTTCATTTGACCCAAGCGATTCCTTTTTTAATTGCTTTCTCTTAGCCTATATTAGATAAAGTCACACCTCCTACTATAGTGCACCATTCGTTGGATAAGTGGTTGACTTTTTAATCTCAATCTCGCCATCGTTTTCTCTCTAATGGCTAATATTCTTCCCTCAAGCGATCCTGAGCTGCATTTTTCTTTTACTATGTCAATTCCGTGACTTCAAGTTCTAACGTTGATTACCCATTTTGACGTGCTTCTTGTTTCTTTAAATATATCCTTCCTCATTCTTAACCAGTTTATGAGACGCAATTGTGATTATATTTATATGATTGTTGGATGAGCATACCAAAATTACCATTTTGCCCACTGTCAATAGTATGTGCTCAGAATTCCTACTTTTTGTTTTGTCTCCAATAATTGCAATGGCTTTCTCACCCTGGAGTCATTGACATTAGTATAGAAATTTTTTTACGAACTTTTTTTTATTTTATTGTTTTTTTTTTCCTTTTGTGCAACTTAAGACAGAATCACCAATTCTGTGAATTCATTATTTACATCTTGGAAGTTCGTGAGGTTGTAATTTAACAGAATTTTTTTTGGTTATTTATATGAAATACTCAAGGAAATAAGAAATGACATTAGTATGGAGATTTTTGTACTCCTATTTTTTATTTTATTTTTTTATTTCCTTTTGCGCAACTTAATGATCTCCCTCTCCCTTTGGCACTCATCTATATTTACATCCAGAAAGTTCTTGAATTCGTAAATTAAGAGAAAATGAGTAGCGTGCAGGCATAAGTGTTCAGAGTTGCCAACATGTTTGAGTTGAAATTTCTTACTTTCTATTTCTTTGGAGATAGTTTCCATAAAGATGGTTGAAAATCTCTTGTGATACCTGTACAAAAAATGAACAGGTAATACAAAGTACAAACTGCCAAACAAGATCTCTAAAAGCAGTCCGATTTTCACAAAAAACTTAAAACTCTCAGCAACCTCACATGTACTGCTTAGACATTGCACGCATGTACATTGAAAGCAATTGAAAAAACAATCGAGAGGAAACTGAGCAGTAACGTTCAAGAGGCTGGGGATGAAGGGCCTTGTAAGACGCTCACTTGACTTCGTTTGCACTTGCAATATCTCATTTAGTTTCCTAACCGAAGAATGCTTTACTCTCTCTTAATTGCACCAGCAAAAGGAATCTGAGCCCTCTCCGTCGCTAAACTAAGCAAGATCTCTAGGGTCGAGGGCTTTGGAAATCACCCATTTTAGTTTTTACATGAATTGCGAGACCAAAGTGATCAATTCAGTGACTTCTCTAAGTGTACTACAATTTCGTTGAAGAATTTCATCCATATTGTAACTTAAATATAACCGTCTCTAAGTGATTTAAAAATTCACACGTGTTCTAGCTATTTCATTCTTGGGCTAGCAAAAAAAGCACAAAGTGTAATTTGATTATTCTAGGAAATTAACTAAATGGAAGAGAGGGAAACATTTTATTTAAGTTTGGGATTCACGAGAGACTAATGTGATAATAGGATTGTTATATAAGATATCTAAATTACCATTTTGACCATTGTCTTGTAAAAATTCCTACTTTTTATTTTGTCTCCAGTAATTCCAATAGCCTTCTCGTCCTAGAGTCATCAACATTAGTATGGAGATTTCTTTGACTATTTTTAATTTATTGTTTTATTCTTTTTGTGCAACTTAAGACAGAATCACCAATTACATGTATTCATAATTTACATCTTGGCACCCATCAATTTCTGCATCTTGGAAGTTCATGAATTCGTAATTTAACATAAATGACTAATTCAATGATCAAATACCGCAGGTTGCATTTCCTAACTTGGAGACACTAGATATCAAATCCATGGACAGCATTGAAATGATATGGGACAATCAAGTTGCTGCAGATTCTTTCCCCAATCTAAAATCCCTTTGTGTATACGAATGCAATAAGCTAAAGTGTGTATGGGATAAAGAACTCCACCGTCAAGTTAAATTCCAGTGTCTACGTTCTTTTCACGTTTGCAGATGCAAGAGCCTCACCTCTCTATTTCCAGTCTCAGTAACTGGAGATCTAAAGCAACTTGAGGAGTTGAAGATTGATGAATGTGACATTGCGGAACTCATCGAGAAGGAAGAAGGACTAGTTCCCAGGTTTGTATTCCCAAGTTTAACCTCCCTCGAGCTTAAGCATCTGACAAAGTTGAAGTGCCTCTACACCGGAACACATACTTCCCATTGGCCAGCATTGAAGACCTTGAAGGTGGACGGCTGCGACAAAGTGGAGATATTTGCTTCCCAAATTGAGAATGAGATGACATGTCATAAACAACCTCTCTTCTTGATAGAAAAGGTACGACCAAAGATTATTTGTTTTGCTTCGATGGTGAATATTTGAAGTGATCATTAAGGCCACAGCCATGCATCTCATACAAGTAGCTCTACATAGGAAGATGTAAACTGTACGACTCCCCTTGAATCCATCGAAATATTTCAACATTGAAACATCACACGTTCTTCAAGTATTGACTGAACATTCCTTGTCAATGTCTGATGTATCAAATGCGTTTTCGTTGATCCCCTTTTGAAAAAGATTTAGGCTAATTCCGATGGTTTAGCTCTCTCCTAAGTGCCACAAAGATTGAAAACACGTGGCATGTCGTGTGATCTTACCATGGCACAAGTGTGTTGTCTAATTTGAACCCTATAAAGATTACCGAAGTTGTGCTAAAAACGGAAAGATGGGACATTATTGTTGAGATTAAAATCACTGGAATTTGTGCAATTGTGACTATAATTGATGCAGAAGTTATTTTCACAACGGATATATCTTTAGAAACGTGAATGTGAGAAGTTACTTAAGTTCAATGTGGATACAAAGCGACATTGCTTATTTTATGTGGGAACATTTCCTTCTGTTGAATCACATGAGACTCAACATTTTAAAATGCAGTTATTGTGTGCGATATGCAAGACTAAAATCATAATACATTAATACTCTTTTAACTAAGCTGGCTTTAAGTTCTGATTTGACTATTTTCTCAGGGCGCATTCCCTAATCTCCAAGAGTTAAAACTTGATTTATCGAAACGGATGGAGATTTGGCATGGGCATTTTCATGATGAAGAATTCGTCTGCAAGCTTAAATTTCTTGAGCTTCGTCATCTCTCCCAGGAGTCTTCAATATCCACATCTCTTTTTATTGAGAGCTTAACCAACTTGAAAAAGCTAGTTGTATGTGACTCTTATCTAGAAGACCCAAACAGCAATGAGGACGCCATAGAAGGCACGGGTCATGAGCTAAAAGTAATATTACCCTTTTCAGGATATAGTCGACATCTGCGAACTTTAGATGTGTCACATTGTGATGGGTTATCAAATATTTTCACATTGACAATAGCTAAAAATTTGGTGGCACTCACAAAATTGAGGATAAGTAATTGTAGAATATTGACAGAAGTCCTTGGTGATGAGGAAGGTGAGGAGGGGCATGTTGTGGCTTTCAATCAATTGAAGTATATGGAGCTTGATGGGTTGATAGAATTGAGATGTTTCAGCTCAAGTGGATACATTTTGATGTTTCCTCTCTTAGAAGATGTCATTGTGAATGGATGTCCCAAAATGAAGTTTTTCTCCAAGGGACCAATAGAGGCGCCAAAGCTGGAGAGAGTACGAGTAAGTTTGAAGGGATCGTATGGACAAACAAAGCACCGGCATTTTTGGAAGGGAAACCTCAACATCACCATCCAAAATATGTTTGAAGAAATGGTATGCATCAATTACTAAATTCTATGCAATTGGATGTTTTTTACCACCAACAAAGTGATTGCTTTTTTGCTTACTAGAATTTTACGTGTGATGTTGCATTTTTTATAGGATACAGTTGTTGGGGCTCAGTTTGTGCAGCTATTTGAGTTCCCCAGGCTAATTGGAAACTGGCACAGCGACCTTAATCCCATCAAGTCATCTTGGCAATTAGAAACCCTGGTGGTAGATAAATGTCCATCATTTATTAATGCTATTCCATCCAAATTGATGCTTGTTTTAGAGAAAATGAGAAGCTTGCACGTGCGCGAGTGCGAGTCTATGGAAGAAATATTCGATCTCGAAGGGCTTGAAGATAAGGAAAGCACTCGGGTGCTGCCTCGCTTAGAGAATTTGGACTTGGCCAACCTACCAAAGTTGAGGCAACTGTGGAACAAATGTCTTCAAGGAAAGATGTGCTTTGATTCTCTAAGTAATTTGATCCTTTATAAATGCAGCAACTTGAGACTTGCTTTCACTCCATCGATGGCTCGGTGCCTTGCCAATCTTGAACGGATGAAAGTAAAGGAGTGTGGTCAGATGGAAGGAGTGATTGTAGAGGAAGAAAGGCAGGGAAGCGCGGTGGAAAAGATTACATTCCCGAAGCTCCGGTGGATGAAACTGGAATGCTTGCCCAATTTGACTACTTTCCTATCGGGGAAGGGTCATATGCTAGAATGCCCCCACTTATATGGCCTAACCATTGCCCATTGCCCCAAGATGAGAAGTTTAACTTGGCAGTCTTCAATGGATATTGACCATGGCACCCCTTCGCTTTTCACTCCACAGGTTAGTCTTCTTTTTTCTTAATCCAAAGATTTTGTTTTTTTTAGAGAAATCATCTTGTCAAGTGAATGGAATGCCAGTAATTGAAAATAGGGAATAGAATGGTGCTTTGCACGCGTCACGCGAAACAATTTTAGTTTCAGTGCAATGCAACATCCACTTTTGTTTTTTTTTATTTTGGACAAAAACAAAATCCTCAAAACACGGCATCAATCAAGGATAAGAAATTGGTTTCCTCTTACACACCCAATTTTTGCCAGCGGTTGGATCACTGGCGCACCTCGAAAGGTAATAAATATTATCAAGCAAGTTATTAATGTCCCACCAGATCTTGATTTGGAGCCGAATCTTTTCAATGCAGAACCAGTAAAATTGACCCAATTTACTTTTCCTAAGATCATAACATACGTTATTTATTGAAGTCATTAAGTTGCTCATGCCTGTTATGAATTTATTTTTTTTCAATACAAAAATTTCTGTACATAATAAAGAAAAAACTAGTAGACAATCGAAGTTTTTTTTTTATCTTGTTTGCCATCAAATTATCATGACGCTTCTCATTAGTAAACTTTACTAATTTAAAGTTTCATAAGTAATACTTGCAATTAGTATTAGTGTTAAATAAGTAGCTGTGCTCATAGTTAACAGAGCAAACAATCTCTATCGAGAGAAGACACGTTGAATAGCGTCAGACTCGAGTTGTAAATTAATTATAAGTGAAGATGGTCAACTCTCATTTGTGCTCCCGTTCCGTGGCTTGTTGATCTCCGCCGTTGATCTATTAAAAAAAGTTAGTTCTGGAATTGATCACTCAATGCATCAATGATTGATGATGATCGAGGCACCATACGGCGAAGAAACGAGGGTAGTGGATCTCCATCCTTTCTATATATACATGGACATGGTTATATAATCATCTTCCTAGTCCATGCTATAATGAGCCAATAAACATCACAGTACAAGAGTAATTTTACCTTTGTACTCATATAATACTCAGAAAATGGTATTAATTCGCTTTTGCTCATAATTTTTGGATTTTTCTAAATCTACTAGGGATGTAAATGGGAAGTTAATTTCTTTCAATTGACAAGAAAGATATGTAGAACTGGCTTATACCCATCGTTGGAGCGTCATAATCTTGCACCCACCAGCATGGCATTGGAGCCAACATTAGGAAGAGAGAAGAATATGTATATATGGAAATATACATATATATCGGAACGGATTGAAGCACGTGCGTCAAAGCTGCTTCGATCCGTGCTTCAGCTTCATTCATTCCTTGAAGCAAACAAATCTAAGAAATTTTTACTTTGTCTAATGTTGCATTATCAAAAGATCAGTGCAAGCAACTTTGATAATGATCAGTGCAAAAAAATCTGACAAAACTCATGCTTCTAAATTCTATTTCTTAAAATCCGATGCTCAATGTACTATTGATTATAAATGCATTTATCATTTCATGCTTGTTGCAATGCAATATACATGGCCTTAGTCACCAGTCAACTGAAATGAAATGAAAGCATCAATCTGCCCTCCCCTGTTTATGTCACTAAGAAGCTCTTGCATTCTCATGATTTGTGAGAGCGACAGAAGTTTGGAAATTCCTTCATTGAGTTCATAACTCAATGTAATCACGTTCATTATGTCATTTTCTTTCAATATGGCAGGTACAATTTCCTCAGCTTGGGTCGATAGTTCTCTCCCACATGGACAATTTAAGCAAAATATGGACCGACGATCCTCAAGAAACTCTCACTTTTGAACATTTACGGGGAGTGCAAGCTCAAAACTGTAAGAGCCTTGAAAATTTGTTTCTGCATTGGGTGGCTACAAGTCTAACCCAACTTGAAAAACTTCGAGTGGAGTGTTGTGCAATGGAGGAAATAGTCGCCAGTAGAGATGACACTCCACACTCCAATGCTGCTCAAGTTCTTTTCCCGAAACTATCCTCTTTGGTGTTACATGATATGCCACGACTCAAGAGCTTCTTCCCTAACTTGCCCAATTTGAATTGGCCATTCTTAGAGGAATTGCGAGTCACTCATTGTGACAAACTAGACATCTTGTCTGTTGCGGCATCCATGAACAAGTGGATTCAGAGAGACGATCAACAGGACCTTTCGAATCAAGAAGCACACTCTTCAATTGAGAGGGTATGATTAAAATTGCTCTTTCCGAGTTTCTACTTCGTTCTTTAGTGCACCCGCTAATCACATGTCCACTGCATAATCACGTCACATTATGATACTATAGAAAAAATGATATCCCTTGCCTATCAGTTTGTCAACAATATAAGATATTTCTAATATCTCAAGTATACTTTTCATTTGTGGACAACCATGAGATGTTCCATTACCTAAAATTACAAAAAAAAAAGTTACAAATTTTTGTTGACAACCCAATATGTTCATAATCTAACCTAATCTAATCTAATCTAATCTAATCTAATGGTGCTCCTTAGGGAAGTCAATGAGGATTTGGCACGAGATCCTCTTCATTGTTGACACACGTTGCACATTTGAACTTTTCTTCTCTATTTATTTTCTACAGACTCTAAAAAAATAAATGCAAACAGTTTTCTTTTAAAAAAAATAACATCAGAACCTTAATTCACTATATTCTACTTTATTCTTTAATTCTCCCATTATATTTCATCTCCACTGCAAAATCACATCACCTTATAATACTGTAGAAATGCCGAAACCCCTTATCTATAAGTTTGTGGATGACATAAGATATCTCTTATATCTTAAGAACATTTTTCAGTTTATGGACCATATATGTTTTAGAAACATTTTGAGTGCATCCCATTACATAAAATTCCAAAGATGACAAATTTTTGTTAACAAGATAAGATATTTCTAATAAAAGATAAATTTGGTGAGTTGGAGGGCTCTTGAATTTAGATTCACTCTACCAACATAACCATACCAACCTCTACTTGAGGCTTTTAAAAGCTTGAGATTGTATGTAGGGATCTTTTGATTTGGTGAAACGTAAGAAGATGGCCACCTTCCATGTGAATCATCTGAATTACGTTTACCTTTTATTAACACATGATTTATGGCCCAATCTTTGCTGAATTTACTTTTCTTGTTGTACTGGTAATTTGACAGGACTTTCCCAACTTAAAGAGACTTTTATTAGTCGATAAAGATGTTCAAAGCATCCAAGATGGAAAATTTCCCGATGATATCTTTGGCAAGCCTAAAGCACTAACATTGGCATGCTTTCATGGTGAAAAGGCCGTCTTTCCTCCCATATTCCTCCTAGAGAGATTTCAGAATTTACAAAGCCTTGAGGCCTTTTGTAGCTCCTTTGAAGATATATTCCCCGACGAAGGGCTTGCTGATGAGGGAAAACATCCGGTGCTTGAAAATCTAAGAGAACTTAAGTTAAACAAACTGCATAACCTAAAACGTGTATGGAGAGAAGATTACTTAATGGAGAAAATTCTTCGGAGTATCGAAACATTTGAGGTTTGGGATTGTCCTTGTCTGACAACAATATTTCCAGTCACGACATCCTTCCGGAATTTGACGGAGTTAGTGGTGAAGAAGTCCTCTGGATTGGTACATCTGGTAACAGTTTCAGCAGTCACAAATTTGGTGCATCTTATTTGGATGACTATAATAGGATGTGAAAGAATGAAAGAAGTAGTGGCAAACGATGAAAATGGAGAAGGAAAAGTGATTTCTCTTGGGAAGCTAGAAAGTTTGACACTCCGAAATCTGCCCAGCCTAGAGTGCTTCTCCTCCACCACGAGTTGCAGCTTGAGGTTCCCATCCTTGCACTCTATTAAAGTGGAAGAGTGCCCGCAAATGAAGATTTTTTCCAAGGGTACGCTAACCACACCACGACTACGATCTGTGAGTCTGTTCAGATACGAGTGGCGACGAAACTGGAATGGGGGTAATCTCAATACAACCATACAAAAGTTATCGGCATGAACAAATATGCATATGAAATTGGTAAGAGATTCAATTAATGCCTTTTTTTCCACGCGTATTTTGCTTTTATCGCTCGCCTCTTGCTTCTCAAATTGCTCGACCCCTAAATCTTTTCCTCTTTTTTTTTTTAGACTTGCCTAGCCACTGATGAAGGGCAGGCCAGGCCAGGCGGTGCAAATGAAGAGAGAGAGAGAGAGAGAGAGAGAAGAGAGACAGAGAGAGAGAGAGAGAGAGGGAAGAGTAAAATGGGAACCCCCCCAGTGGGAGCTGATGGGGCTCGTCGATCTCGCCTCCGTCACTGAAGCGCTTTATCCAAAAAGAAGAACGGGATTTTGTCTCGCGCGAGAAGCTGAACAGTGCGCCCTCCCACCATTCCCTGAAGACCATCCACGGTTTCTGGTCATCGTTGTCGTCGCCGTCGCCGTCGCCGGAGAGAAGACGAAAGTGCGACGCCGGAGATGGCACGGCCGAGCCTGGACAGTCCTCCCCACTTCATCGAAGAAGATCATGCTCTCTCTATCTCTCTCCCGCATCTGTATCCGACAAATTCGTGAGTTCACGCTTCTTCACGCATCATTTCTCCCGATTTTCGCGTCATATTGCGCGTGAGTTTCTCCCGATTTTCGTGAACCTTCCTCGATCGTCGTCTTCTTCAGCTAGGGGCTCTGCCTTTTAAATTCGTTCCACATTCGAGTTATCCATGTTTGAAAATGGCGATGGGCAGAGTGCTCCTTGTGGCTTCATCAGGTAGTTTGAAATTGCAACATATTCATGAATACGAAGAAGTTGTGACTAGGGCTCTGTTTCATGTAATAATATTTTGACAAAGTTGCTTTAGGGATAGATGTCTCTCAACAAACGTCAAGGTTAAATTTCTATTATTATGAAAAGAGGGAATAAATCATGGAACTTTAAAATTCAGAGAATCACCATGCCTTGTCAAAATATGAGGGAGTCACTTTTACACCTTGTTCTCGATAAACTCCGGACTGTTCATCATCATGTGGATTTGGAGGGGTGACGTGCGGTTTAACATGTCTTGTTTCTGCTTACATAATGATTGTGGGGATAATATTAACTTCCAATCTATGTTGAATTTTTTCATAGCAATTCGGATTAATGAAGTCCACATGAATTGTCACTAAAGTTGTCGTTTTTCGAGTACAAGGAGGACCAAATAGTTAGAAGATTGAAGCATCCTGAGCTGGTTTTTTTCTGGTCCCACACGCCCAAAGGCCTCTCACTGCTCTTATATCGGCCAACAAATTTCAATCGGAGCATCCCTTTTTCAAGTGGTGATGAGGCCATCTTATGTTTAAGTAGGGCTTGGTAAGATCCCAAGCTTATTTACTCAGACTGGCATGTCTGAAAATCAATATATCAATGCTGTTTATATCTTTGCTTATACTCTAGTACAAACAGTTAGTAGATTGTGAGCTGGTTTTTTATGGTCCCACGCTCCCAAGGCTTCTCACTGCTCTTAAATCGGCCAACAAATTTCAAACGGAGCATCCCTTTTTCAAGGTGGTGATGAGGCCCTCTTATGTTAAGTATGGCTTGGTAAGATCCCAAGCTTATTTTCTCAGACTGGAGTGTTTTATTAATGCTATTTATAACTTTAATTATACTCTAGAGTATTTCCAAGTTTACTTCATTGTGTAGTAAACCACATGACATGTTATTTTCCTTAAGTATTCATGGGTATATGTTTAAAACCAGGTATATATCTTAACAATGGAGTAATTGAAGCAGGGAAAAGAATGAAAGGACAGTTATTGGGACATAAGCTAGTGGCTGAGGTTCAAAATGATAACAATTGTCTTCTTTTTTGTGGATAGATGTGTTGGCAAAGCAATTGCTGAGGCGTCTTAAGAATTAGAATCCAAGTCCTCTTTTATGGAGAAATTTGACAATGTTATCCAATGTCGTAGAAGAAGAATATATATGTAAATCGCACAAGGAGACTGTGTTGATATGGACAAGCAAATTGCAAAGAATCTTACTGCCTCCATAACTAAAGAGAAAGACCTAAAAAATAAGGGGTTGGTTTGTCATGATTCTGAAATTTCATTGTAAATCTAATGACTCATAATTTTGCTGTCAAATAGGAGATACTGTTGTATTTTGTTATATTAATCAGATTTGGGGAAAAAAAAGATGATTTTACTTTGTCAAATTGAACGAATAGTTTGATAAAACCAACCGAATAGCTTAAGTTTAAATTTTCAATTCCATCCCTGTTCCAGTTGTTGATGTTTTTGCTTTTTCCCCTATGATTGTGGTCTATGTGGCTGAAATTCATATGTTTTAAATATATATAAGACATGGAAGGCTTCTACTGAATGTGTACCCTATTGCACTCTAGGACTCTAGGAGCATAGATTCTAACATTTGACTTTGGATTGATGACTTCCATTATATGGTTTACTGTCTATCAAAACTCTTGAAACTAGCAAATACTGCCTTAAACTCACACTGTGTGTGATTTGATTTCACTATATATTGGTTTTTCAACCATGTACATGGGCAGTCTACTCCTGTTCAATTCATCATGCAACATATTCAAGAAATCAAGCAAATTGCTACCCTCTGGTATTTAGTTGTTTCGGTTTGGGTTTTTTTTTTTTGGGGGGGGGGGGGGGGGGGATGGTTTCTTTTCTGCTGGTTGGGCCACATTTGCAAGAGGAAGTCATCTGCTTCTGCATGTGAATATTGATTGATAAGGATGATGTTGTGTTCAAAGTCTACATATTCACTAGTGCTGGTTAGGACTTGATTTACATCGATCAATTTGAACTCTAGAAGTGTCACTTTGGCTGATCCAAAAGGAATTCAATATTCCAAATAATGACTCCTTTATATAGTCTTGATGAATCAAGGAAGTGTACTTCTAGCCGACTGGGTTTATGAGGTTGATAATAATCCAGATGCACACTCATTAATGCCACATTCCAAATCTGAATGAAGGGAAAAGGATGTGCTTCAAGATGTATGTTTTGGTTTATGCATTCTTGTATGTTGTTCTTCTTTTTGAATTTGAAAGCAAGTCTCATAGGCTTATTAAGATTATGGGTTTTATTTTTCCTACAGGGAATACCAAAGAGGTTCGCGAGAAAATATGGTGAGAATCTCTCAAAAGGGTTCATGAGAAAATATGGTGAGAACTCTCTGTCACGCCCCGAACCCTAATGAGCTTGCGACATCCTCCACTGGTCGATTAGTGCGACATCCCAGGCTAGTCGCCGACCTCACTTAAGCGCATCAGAGATTTAAATTTTTGCTCAGCGGAAACTCGTAAACACCCTGACAAATGGAAATGGGGAGAATAGGGAGAATTCACAAAACTATATTTCCATATCAACTTTTACCATAGTATTTACAATTACAAAGCCACCCCAACGCGTACAAGTCACCACATATACATGTGCATGCCTCACTACTACTATCATTAACAAAAGGGCCGATAACCTAGTCAACCTTCCACCCAAAAATGGTACTCGCAAAAAAAACCCATTCCATACCCGGATATTACTCCCTACACCCCTTACTAGGCGTCCATTCTGAATCCGATTCTTCGTCCTCTGAGTCGGAGTCCCCTGGTATCGTTCCGTCCACTGAGGACTCTGAATCTGCCTCTATTTCGATCGGATGATTAATGTCACCCGATTCGGACGGAACCCCATTCTGATATTCCTTAGCTAACACATCTGCGAAACGAAGTTCCGGTACGTAATTGGGATCCGCATACTGCGCGAATGGGAGTATGTATTCCGGTTCTTCTACAGGCTCCTTAGACTCACCGGGTTCATCCTCTGGTTGTGCCTCGGGCTCGACCTCGGGTTCAACCTCCTGTGGTTCCTCTTCTTGCGGTTCTTCCTCTAGAATCGGCTCTAAGTCTATGTCCATCGGGTCGTCATGAGCTTGCGACTCCTCGGGCTCCGGTTCGTGCTCCGCCTCATAGGATCCTTGCGCTGCGGGGGCTGGGTGCATCTCGGATTGCGCTAAACAACTTCTGTCCTGGTCAATTCTCCGTCTATCGGTGGTATGGCAGACGGATCCCAATCCCTGACCAAATCAAATGGAACATCAAACCCCCTAACGGGCCCGAACTCAGCTCCTACTTCATCCCGGAAGAACCAGGTCGTGTACTTGTGCTCCTCCCACAGGGGCAACCCTACATCTACGAATACCGTAGTAGTATGCTTAATCCAAGTAAAGTTATCGCACATCGGAAACTCTAGAACCTCTAACTCAGTGTGCACAGGGACTCCAAAATGTTCTGGTGGCGGTGGTGGGATATTCATGGGTCCTGTCGGGGTTCTGAAAATTGTTGGTTGAAACAACCGTGAGAACACTTCTCAGTAAGTTCACCCCTAAACCCAACATAGGCTATCACGTACCTCCAGACAATCACATAGACACACGTGCATTCGTACACATCAAACTATTACATTTCAAGCACATCAAATAATATAGTCAAACCCAAGCATGCGCACACCAGTACTCAATCACAATCACATCGTATGCAAACACGTGCATGTATCGTTCTCATCCCACTATTCCTTCCATTCTCATTTTCACTTTCACATCCACTCGCCAGTGACCCGCGTTGAAGTACACGCCTCAGGCACACTGCGATCATTCATTTTTCCTCTTTCACTCACCAGTGACCCACGTTGAAGTACACGCCTCAGGCACACTGCGATCATTCATTTTTCCTCTTTCACTCACCAGTGACCCGCGTTGAAGTACACGCCTCAAGCACACTGCGATCATTCATTTTTCCTCTTTCACTTGTCACACCACACTTCTCCTTACTCATGCACATGCTCGATATGCATTTCCACACGCTACTAGCCCATCACACGCGATCCGTGCACACATCGAATCACACGCAAACAGAGCTCACTCAACAATTCACATGGGCAATATCAGCAATTAATTTAATCAACTCACGTGCGCACTTGACAAGTATAATCAGTCACTTAATTGCCCAACAACACTCTCGATTAAATCACCACAATTTATAAATAAATCAAACACGCCTCAAATACGGTAATTGCCATTTTTCTCCAATCAAATGGCGTCGGATTAATTCCGATCCTTCATGGGACTTTCTCGCCATTAAATACCAGTTCTAAAAATCCAACTTGCGTCCCGAACTGAGCATCACAGCCTCGTGAACAGTAAATTCGCAGCTCGTGAACAGTGATTCTTAGCTTGAAATTCCCTCAAATCGTCCTCCAAAAATTCCAAATTAATTTCTTAAGGCCCGCCATACATTCCTGGTCTAAAGCCCCAACATTTCACACCCGCACAAGTCCAATTTCACCCAAAAATCAGATTATTCGGCGATACCCAAAATCCTAAATCGGGATTAGAGTATGACTTACAAAATTCTAGACTTAATCGGCTAGAACGGGGAGCGGCGGCACACTATGGCGACAGCGTACGGCTCACGACGGCGTCCGGCTTGAGCGGCGGCGGTCCGGCCCTCCTCGATGGGGCTCACGGCCACCTTGAGAGAGAGAGGGAAAGAGAGAGAAATATGGCGTGAGGTTGATGGTGGTGGTGTACGGCGGCGTGGACGGCGGCTTGAGGGCGGTCCGGTGTGGTGATGGCGAGCGGCGGCGCCGGCGGTGGAGGGAGGAACGGCCAAATGGAGCCCACGGCAAGGGAAAAAAAGAGAACCAAATGGGGGAGGGGGTCTTCACGATGGAGAGGGGAGAAAGAAGGGAGAGAAAAGTGTCTTGGACTAAATAGTGTATTTTGACCAATGGTGAAAATGACCATAATACCCTTGTCTCACAAATTTAATCCAACGGTTCCAATTCGATCTTATTTTGATCCGACGGCCGAGATTGATTCTTGCACAAAAATATCCAAGGGTATTCTTGTAATTTCCAAAATATCCAAGGGCAAAATTGTCCAATCAAAATTTGAGGGCAAAATTACCAAAATGCCCTTTACCCTTAAAGCTTGCCCTTTTATAAATCCTAGGGGTATTTTGGTCACTTTCTCCGTTTCTTGCCCAAATCGAATTTTTCCGAAGGATTTGAGCGCACCAAAAATTCACACGTGTCACGTGCAATGTCGTCCTAGCGTTCCATTGCGACTTCCTAATTTTCCGGTGTCCAATTTGGGCAAAATTTCAATAATTAAATTCTATTAAATGCAACTCGAGCGTTTCTCGAGCTAACGGGTGGCTTGCTGGGGAAATTCGCAGAATCGACTCATGACTAATACTGAATCGAGTCACGTGCAAGCCCGTTCGGTGCATGACGACCTCGGTGGTCATTAAAATCGCGAAGATCAATCACTTGATCCGAGGGGTACGATCGTTCAGTATAATTTCGGAATCATTCGTCAAGTCGTTTCGTAGTCCAACGGAATCACCCGCGATCCACTACTAAGACAGTGACGAACTGACCCATAACTATCCTTGGATCGGCCAACAGTGGCTCAAAATATCGCTTCCGCGATTTAATGGTCGAAATCCATTCACGATCGAATTTCCTTTAGTCGCGCGAATTTAATTCCCCTATTAGCCTTTCCCTAATGGTTAGCATTCCTAGGAATGATCAGTTTCGAGCGAGAATTTACTGCGAGCACATCTCATAAAACTCAATCATTCAATAAATTCCAATTGGTGGAATTTCGGAATGTCACACTCTCGAAAGGATGCTTATGAGAGAATGGTGCAATTATTTGGGCTGTGGAATTGGAAAAATGTGGTGAGATGGTTTGGCTATCAAAGGGTTGGAATTAATTTGCAGAGCATTACTCTATCTGTGAGGGACAATTTTTGGTTTTAAATCTGAAGAGGACTCCATTTTCCATGTGATCATATTTGATAAAAGCACGTCTGAGATAGAATATCTGCCAATCAATGCCGATGTGACAAACCGAGCCTCGGCGATTGTGGAATTGTCTTGCTGAAAGTGGAAGATGCTGGAGATTGCTGTGATGTTTCGGTCGAGCTTTAAGTTTTGAGGGATGAATTGCATTCAGCCAAGTGTCCTCGGCTTTGAATGGCAAGGGAATTGATCAGGTTTGCGAAGTTCATGGCTGTTCCTATGCACATTCATCAGCACAGAGTTTGGGGAGGGACAGAAGTTCAAATTGCTCATCATTAGATTTTCCAGGTGTGAATCTTAGTACATTAACTAATTCTCCCCTTGACTGTGTTGTTCTTGTGCTTGATTTGAATTCCTTACAGGAACTCTCCATGTCTGGCTAAGAGAAATTGTGCTAGAGCTAATTCATTCTCGTTGTGTTTCTCTGTCTCTAGTCCTCCCATGTGTGAATATGTTTGTGTTGTGGGATCTCATAAATGTCAAGCCAATGGAAACAAGTCTTACTGGTCATATTGGATTTGATTGTGCTGAGAATTGTATTGGTGTGCGTATAGGCCTCAGGAATCTAGACCATTAGTAATACTTGGATCTATTGATTTAGGGTTGCTATGTCAGTAGATTTGAGTTTCACATACAAGAATAGAATATGCCTGGAAAGCAAAAGCTTTCTTCATGTTCTTTTGCAACTGCTGCAGGTAAGCTGAAAGAGCCAGGCACACCAGAACTTGGACATGTGAGTCTGTTTAGATACGAGTGGGTAAGGGACTGGAAGGGGTGTGATCTCAATACAACAATACAAAAGTTATTGGCATGAACAAATATGCACATGAAATTGGTAAGAGATCCAATTAATGTCTTTTTCTCGTGTATTTTTGCTTTTAACGCTCACCTCTTGCTTCTCAAATTGCTCGACCCCTAAAACTATTCATCCTTTTTTTTTTAAACTTGCCTAACCACTGATGTAGGGTGGGGCAGGCGGTGCAAATGAAGAGAGAGAGAGAGAGAGAGAGAGAGAGAGAGAGAGAGAGAGAGAGAGAGTCTATCACTGAACCGTGTGGACTCCCACCATTCTCTGAAGATCATCACAGTTTCTGGTCGCCATCGTCATTGTCGTGGCTGCAATGAAGACAAAACTGTGACACCGGAGATGGCACCGCCGAGACTGGACAGTCCTCTCCACTTCATAAGAGAATATCATGCGCTCTGTCTCTCTCCTGCATCTGTATCCGATGAATCGTAAGTTCATGCTTCTTCACACATCATTTCTCCTAATTTTCGCGTCTTATTGCGCGTGAGTTTCTCCTGATTTTCGTAAACCTTCCTCGATTGTCGTCTTCTTCAACTAGGGCTATGCTTTTAGTAATTGAAGCGGGGAAAAGAATGAAAGGACAGTTATTGGGGTATGAGCTGGTGGTCTGAGGTTCGAAAAGATAACAATCGTCTTCTTTTTTTGTGGTTAGATATGTTGCAAAAGCAATTGCCGAGGCATCTTATGAATTAGAATCCAAGTCCTCTTATATGGAGAAATTTGACAATGTTTTTCAAGGTCGTGGAAGTAGAATAAGTATGTAAATTGTGCAGGGAGACAATGTTGATATGGACAAGCAAATTGCAAAGAATCCTGCTGCCTCCATAACTAAAGAGAAAGACCTAAAAGATAAGGGGGTGGCTTGTTATGATTCTGAAATTTCATTGTAGATCTAATGACTCATAATTTTATTGCCAAATAGCAGATATTGTTGTATTTTGTTATATTAATCAGATTTGGGGAAAAAAAGATGATTTTACTTCGTCAAATTGAACGAATAGTTTCATAAAACCTATTTGAGCTGCGCTTGAAAGAATCAAACAGCTTAAGTTTAAATTCTCAATTCCATCCATGCTCCAATCATCGATGTAATGTAGGACATGGAAGGCTTCTTCTGAATGTGTACCGTATTGCACTCTAGGAGCATAGATTTTGACATTTGACTTTGGATTGATGACTTCCATTATATGGTTTACTGTCTATTAAAACTCAGGAAACTAGCAACTACTGCCTTAAACTCATGCTGTGTGTGATTTGATTCTATCATTAGGGTATACTTATGTTGTGGTCTGTTTTTCACCATATATTGGTTATTCAACCATGTACACGAGTAGTTTGCTCATGTTCAATTCATCACGCAACATATTCAAGAAATTAAGCAAATTGCTACCCTCAGGTATTCAGTTGTTTTGGTTTGATTTCTTTTTTTTTTTTTTTGGGGGAGGGGGGGGGGGGTGGGGTTCTGCTGGTTGGCCCACTTTTGCTAGAGAAATTCATCTGCATGTGGAAACTGATTGATAAGGATGATGTTGTGTTCAGAGTCTACATATTCACTAGTGCTGGTTAGGACTTCATTTACATTGATCGAGATGAACTCTAGAAGTGTCACTTTGGCTGGTCCAAAAGGAATTCAGTATTCCAAATAATAACTCCTTTATGTAGTCTTGATGGATCGAGGAAGTGTACTTCTATGCCGATTGGGTTTATGAGGTTGATAAGAATCCAGATGCACACTCATTAATGCCACATTCTAAATCTGAATGAACGGAAAAGGATGTGCTTCAAGATGTCCATATTGGTTTATGCATTCTTGTATGTTGTTCTTCATTTTGAATTTGAAATCAAGTCTCATAGGCTTATTAAGATTATGGGTTTTATTTTTCCTACAGGTAATACCAAAGAGGTTCATGAGAAAATATGTGAGAATCTCTCAAAAGGGGTCACAAGAAAATATGGTGAGAATCTCTCGAAAGGATGCTTCTGAGAGTTTAGTGCAATTATTTGGCCTGTGAAATTGGAAAAATGTGATGAGATGGTTTGGCTATCAAATGGTTGGAACCGAGCCTCAGCGATTGTGGAATTGTCTTGCTAAAAGTGGAAGATGCCGGTGATTGCCGTGATGTTTCGGTCAAGCTTTAAGTCTTTAGGGATAAATTGCATTCAGCCAAGTGTCCTTGGCTTTATATGGCAATGGAATTTGATCAGGTTTACGAAGTTCATGGCGGTTCCTATGCACATTCATCAGCACAGAGTTTGGGGAGGGACAGAAGTTCGAATTGCTCATCATTAGATTTTCCAGGTGTGAATCTTAATACATTAACTACTCCCCTTGACTATGTTGTTCTTGTGTTTGATTTGAATTCCTTATAGGAACTCTCCACTTTGTTAGGCTAAGAGAAACTGTGTTAGAGCTAATTCATTCTCGTAGTGTTTCTCTATCTTTAGTCCTCCTGTGTGTGCATATGTATGTGTTGTGGGATCTCATAAATGTCAAGCCAATGGAAACAAGTCGAACCGGTCACATCGGATTTGATTCTGCTGAGAATCGTATTGGTGTGCATATAGGCCTCAGGAATCTAGACCATTAGTAATACTCGGATCTATTGATTTAGGGTTGCTATGTCAGTAGATATGAGTTTCACATACAATAATAGAATATGCCTAGAAAGCAAAAGCTTTCTTCATGTTCTTTTGCGATTGCTGCAACTAAGCTGAAAGAACCAAGCTTGTGCAGCGCTCTTGAACGGGCCAGCTAATATAAACCCGAGTATCCTTTCTCCGAAATTGTGGTGAGGTGAATACATCTGAAGAAAAACAATGCGGTGAGATCCTCATGACAATGACAACTCTTGGATTTAAATCACGTAGAGTCACTAGACTATGTTAGCTCTAGGTTAATCGTGCATCGCGTCAATAGTTTCTGTTATCCTTCGCATGCTTTGAAAAGGATCCTTGTACTGTCTTCCTCAGAAATCATTGGTTGTTATCTTCTTTCTGATGACAAAATCTTGAAATGTCTACTTGAGCAGAGAGTTCCCGGTTCTTTCCCAAAGACGCACATTAAGAAAAGCCCGCAGACCATGGCTCTCACATTTCAAGACAAATTATGGCCATTGAAAGCTCATCAGCCACGAACATTATGGAAAGTTATCTGCCTGTTGGGCCGCATTCATGAGAGAAACTTCTCTGAAGGTGGAAGACGTGTGTTTTTTAGCTTTATTAAAACGGACGATATTGTGTTCAGAGTATCCATCTTCAGAACCATTGATAAAACTTGGGTGAACAATATAATATGCAATACAATACAGCAAAGGAAGCATCGCTTTAGCTCACTTTTGGTGAGAACAGAACTTACAGAATTGCTAGGGTGAATTCTGCTTCTGATTTGGCAAAATGGATAAAAGCATGAGTTTTGTTCTAATGAATGCAATGGTCCTCCTGAATGTGTAAGATACCTTTCCTTGATCCTAGACTTAATAATCACTATGTGAGCAGGAGTCATAAGTCAGAGGAAGCTGATTTGCCAATGTCGATTCTATAACTTCCGTCTCTGGAAATTCTTTAGGGTTTCCGGTTGCTCAACCTGACCTCTAGAAGACCTTTAGAACTGTAAAGTGTAGTAATGTCGAATACACTTCCCTTAAGCCATATACTAGCTCTGAATTTCGAGGCACAACCCATGGCTTTATGAGCTCTAGGGAACTTACCTCAGATTCTTTTCATCGTCTTTTTTCGAATTCTCAAAAATTTTACGAGTAGTCCTTTCACATGTGGGCTGCGCAAATTGAAGTTTTATTATTTTCTTCTCATGCAAAGAGCGTTCAGAATTCTGTGTCAAATTGACTGAATCATGATATGAATGGCAAAGCAATTTCCAATCTATGCTACATCTTGTCATGGTTAGTCAATTAAAGAAAGTTCTACACCAATGTCTACTAAATTCTCTCATCGTTCAACTGTGCAAAAAGGATTTCGAGTCACCCACCTGACCCTCGGCCATGCCCTCAACTGATATGATTATCGCAGAATATATAGATAAAGAAGGTCCCCTGGCGTGGAAGGAGCGGCTCTGCTATTTCTATATATAGTAATGGGAAGTGGGTTAGTTGAATTGATCCCTATCCCTACCGGTCCTGGAACTAAACGGAACCTAGCCCGAAGAACCACATCCGTCTCAAGCTCAAGCTTACTTGATATATCGGATCTAATGAGATATGTCCGTTAGAAAATTCGAAAGACGTTAACTAACATGAAAGACGACGCCAATAATTCGGACATGCAAGCATCCATGTGGAGTCCGCATTTCATCGACATGACAACTATATTAATAATATACTCGTCACATATTCGTATTATCTTTTGTACATGGAAAAGAGATTTATCGTGAAAATATGCATAAGAATTAGAGATGCGCAATCAAAGATTTGCTAGGTTTAGAGATTTCTTAGAGTGACCATAAAAGGCAAATTGTTTGGCCTTCAACTGACATTGCCGGGTTCGACTCTCCGATCATACGGACGTACCCTTACCATCCGTTGGACTTCGGTCAACCGCGGTACGCCTCAGGTGGCTCTCGGTCCTAAACATACTCCATCGAAGCGACACCAAGAGCTCCTCACATGTGCCCCGACCGTCCGTAGCATACCATTTTCGGACCCTCACTTAGATGCCTATGGTCCGAGGAAAGTGCCGATGTTACATGAAGGGTGGTGATGATTTGGCCCTTCCTCCAGACCTTGGGCCGTGACCAGGATTCCAACCTAGATCTCTTCTTGCTTTCTCTTGGTTTGGTTGTTTTAGCTTTGTAGCTCTAACCTTACACTAACTTGATGGCATTCTTGCCTTGCTCATTATATAGATTCGAAAGAAGTCAAATTTCAATGCGAAAGCTACAGAGATTTGGTACGTTTGCTGACAACAGGGTTTTTGCAGCAATATTTGTCACAACATACCCTTTAATTTTGAACCGTTATCTATCGATACTGTCGATTTTTCCACAAATTGACTCAAAGCACGCACAAAAAAATATTCCTTGATAATTTTAAGTTTTGAGCTTAATTGGAAAAATTATTAGGCTCGCGTCGAGTGTGACATTCCGAATTTTGGCCCATTTTTGGGATTTATAAAACGTATAATTCGTCAGTGCGCTTATAATAAAATCTCGCCCGGAACTGATCACTCCTGGGTTTTTATTATTTTTAAATTAGAGATTTCGCTAGAATCGCACTCGATCGAATTTGGCCGTTATTTAGAGCCCAAACTTTGGTGTCGAATTTCTTGGAGTTCCGGGACGAATTTAATTGGACGGTGTCGATATTATTGTGGCCAGCGTCGGTATTACCCGAAGTATGTGAAAAGTGGATTTTTGACCGGGTGCGGATTTGGACTGGTAGACCTCCCTCGTGGTGTGTTTTGGCATATTTTATTTTGGCCACTTTCCTATATTATTAATTAGGATTATAGGGGACCGTTAGATCGTTTTCGGGTTTGAACCGTGTCCGTTGGATCGCACTCGAGTGAGAGGTTTGACTTTGAGTCTCTCTCTCTCTCTCTCTCTCTCTCTCTCTCTCTCTCTCTCTCTCCTCCCTTTGCCGCGCTGAGCACGTCCCCTCCGCGCACGTCCCACCCCCTGCGCGCACGTCTCTTTCCCCTTCCCCCCATGCAAACTTTCTCTCTCTCTTCTCTCTCCTCCCTTCTCTCTTCCTTCTTCTTCTTTTCTTCTTCTTCCTCTTCCTTCTTCCCCCCGCCCCCCCGACCGGGTTCTCGCCGCATCGCCCGAGCTTGCCTGGGATTGCCGGTGCGCCGCATTGCCGTCGCCCGGCCCGGTTCGACCGCCGCACCGGGCCCGCCGCCCGCCGCCCCGACCGGGCCGTGGTCTCCTCCCTCCCGCTCGCGCCGGCTTGCTTTGCTCGAGCCCGCCGCGTGCTTCGCCTGCGCTTTCTCGCCCGGCCGAGCGGCGCTTGCCCGGCCGCGCTTCGGCTATCGCCGCCATCGTCCCTACCGCACCGGCCGTCGCCGTCGCCGCCGCGGCAGCGACCCGGCCCATGCTCGAGCTCGCCACGTCCGGCCGTCGCGGTTCGCCCGATTCGGCCCCGCCCGCCCGGTTCGGTCGGCGTGCCGTCCGGCCGCGAGGCCTTGCGCTGCCGTCGCCGTCGCTCATTTGCCGCCGCCAGCGTCGCCGCTGCCGCCGGATCGCCGCCCAGGCTAACCAGCCCGGCCCCAGGTCTTGATTAGCCGCCCCAGCCGTGACCGGCTCGTCGCCCACGCGACCAAGCCGCGCCCGTCGCCACTCCCGTGCCCGCGCTGTGGCCGAGCTCGCCCCGGCGCCGTGCCCGTCCGACCAGTGCGCGTCGCCCATCCAACCAGGGCGCGTCGCCCGTCCGTTCGCCCGTGCGCCCCTTGGCACGCCGCACGGCCACCGCGCCCGCGCGCCAGGCACGCCGATCGGCCATTGTGCCCGCATTGGTCGGCCACCGCGCCCGCGCCCAGTCCGGTACTGTTCACCCGGGCCATTTTAGGCCCGAGCCGACTTTTCCCGGGCCAAACTTAGGTAAGTGACTTCCTAAACCCTACCTAGTACTTTGGGTATTTTTAGACTTGTTTAGGGTGAAATTTAGTACCGGCTTAGGAATTTAATTAGGTGTGGGCTAATTAGACTGATTGTGCTTAATTGGTGAATTATTGTGGCGATAATTGTGCGGATGATTTAGTGATTGACTGAGATAAATATGCCTGACTGAATTGTCGTGGCGCTTGTGGGTGAATTGGATTAATTGATTGTGCCGACATGAATGTCGGGTCGGTGGATCGATGTGGGGAGTGTGAATTAAATTGGCTGTTAGAGTGTGTCAGATTGACATTGGTGTGAGCTTGGTAATTTGATTGTGAAATGTACGACGTGTTAGATGACAGATTGTGTGGTGGTGCATGTGCATGAGAGAAATGTCCTGAGGCGTGGTTACGCGGGACTGAGCCCGGCTTGATCTGAGGGCTGCCAACCTGAGGCGTGGTTACGCGGGTGTGGCTAGAAAGGCAAGTAATGACCTGAGGCGTGGTTACGCGGGTCGAGAGAAATGTCCTGAGGCGTGGTTACGCGGGACCGAGCCCGGCTTGATCTAAGGGCTGAGCCTGAGGCGCAGTGGCGCGGGCTGTGAGATTGGGCCTGAGGCGCAGTGGCGCGGGCAGTGTGAAAGGACCTGGGAGGTCGTGGAAAGTTGTTCGGCCACGTATGCGAGTTGAATGTGTGATTGAATTGGTTGGATTGATTGAGTGCTAGTGTGGTTGGTGCTTGAGTGATTGTGATATGTTATTAGACTATTAATATTGCATTATCACGTTTAACTAACGTGTAGAGCATGCGTTTGATGGCGAGGTAAGTACAATGACGTGAATTTTATATGTTATGGGGTAGATTGCATGTACGACTTGTCTGGGTACGCATTGGCCTACGTGGGGTATAGGGGGTTGCTTATTGAGACTCGTTCTCACGGTTATTATATAACCATTTCAGATCCGCGACCATGAGTGACTGGAGACACTGCAAGGGTATCTCGGAGATCAAGGACGGGTCAAGTTGCCCCATATTTTTGTGTGCCCCTCTTTTGTATAGCGAAGTAGGATATCCAACCACTACTCCGTTTTAATGTTGTGTATTTGGAATTATTGTTTTGTGCTATCCCTTCGTCATATTTTACTGTCTGGGTTGTTTTATTTCGCTTCCGCTTGCGTAGTTCGTTTGGGTCGGCGACGCGTCCTGGGACGTCGCGTTCAATACGACCGTGGAAGGGGTGTCGCGAGCCCGTTGGGGTTCGGGGCGTGACATCGAGTCATTTTCATGTTCTTTATAATATCCAACATATACTTCTTATTGCTAAAGGAAAGTTCCGTTTTATTTCCCGCAACTTAAATTCCTGGGAAATATTATTTCAATCTCCCAAGGTCTATAACTGAATATTTTACCCAATTCCATTCCCTGATTATCAATATGTCACCAACATAAATTAAAGAAAAATCGTGATAAATGAATTTTCCTTTCCGTAAAGTAAAATAGGGAATTATCAAAAAAATCAAGAATAATGGTTTTCCATTTCTCAGCATTTCTTCTTGCATCGGTCACTTTCGCTTCTTCTCGATCTCTCTATCTCCACCCTCGAGCCAAGCTGCACCGCCCATCTCCGCCTCCGACCGCCGCTGCATCCATGCCGCCGGTTGCCTTGGCATCCAGCAATCAGCGCCGCCCCCTCTCCCTCTCCCCGCCTTCGAAGCCCCCCGAACCCTAAGGCTCCTTGCTTCGGTTCGGTTTAACCGGGATTGTGGAAGATGGAGGAGGACCGGGAGATGGAGAGGTTCGGGATGGACAACGATTACGACGACGGGCAGTGGATCGACGGGGAGTTCTTGTTGGAGGATGAAGCCAAATATTGTTATTAAGGGCTTTTTTGTCTTTTCTATTAATTTTGCTTTTAGGTTAAAAGCTATGCTTATATCAGCTATTGAGAGAAGTTAGCCGTCAAGCGCTGAGAAGAAAATAGAGAGAAAAGAAAAGAGAGAAGAAAAAAGTGAGTTTTTTTCTTTGTGAGTGTTCTCAATCTCTTTGTGCTCCGATCTTGAGAGAAAATCATAATTGTATTCCTACTTTCTTCGAAGTCTAGTGGATTCGCAGAGTGCCTCTACGCGGAGATGTAGCCCAGGTTTGGGTGAACTTCGATAACAAATTCTCTGATGTGTTCTTTCGATTCTGTTCTTTTATTATTATATTCTGCTAGTGAGGATTGTTTGCTTGGGTTATTTTTCTGGAATCGGTGCTCGATTCCCAACAGTTCTACTACCGGCGGCGGAGGGAGAAGCGGGTGCAGACCAAGGAGGACGTGCTCTACGGCGTCTTCGTGTCGAGGGACTCCGATGTGGACTCCGACGAGTCCTCCAAGAGGAAGCGGAGGAAGAACAAGGACCTCCTAGGTAAGGCCGATTTGTCGAAACCTGTGAATTTCGTGTCTACCGGCACGGTCATGCCGAACAGAGAGATTGATGAGAATTCAAGGAGGGAGGATGAGGATGACGAGTCTGCTGCCATGGACTTAGGATAGGCCGGGCTTGGTGGCTGGCGCTGGTGTGGGTTTGGGGTTTAAGAAGCGGAGAGGATGGTTTCGATGAGAACGGCGAGGAGGGGGAGGAGGATAGTTTCTTGCCGACGGCATTTGGGCGGAAGATCAAGGAGGGAGCGGAGAGGAGGAGAGAGCAATCCAGATTGGAGAAGAAAGCGCAGCAAAGGAGGGGGGTGCTAAAGAGGGATTCTTTATGATGCAGGGAATGTGGGCGGCTTCGAGAAGTACACCAAGGGAATTGGAATGAAGTTGCTCGAGAAAATGGGTTACAAAGGGGACGGTCTTGGGAAGAACCGGCAGGGGATTGTGACGCCCATTGAAACGAAGTTGCGTCCTAATAATATGGGTATGGGTTTCAACGACTACAAAGAAACTCCAGCAAAGGCACCTATTGCCTCGCTGGAGCCAGAGGAAAAGAAGCCATTACCTGATGTGCCCAGCGGTAAGGAGAAGCTTTGGTCTAAGCAAGCGAAGAAGGCGACACTGAAAAACAAAGCGAATTATGTTACAGCAGAAGAGCTGTTGGCGAAGAAGCAGGAACAGCGGGGTGTCGAAGTTGTGCGAAAGGTACATGACATGCGCGGACCTCAGGTTAGGGTATTAGCAAACTTGGAGAATCTGAATGCGGAAGAGAAGGCGAGGGAAAGCGGCGTTCCGATGCCCGAGCTCCGGCACGATGTAAGGTCGATTGTGGACCCAGCCGAGTTGGATATTCAGAAGATCGATAGGGATCCGAGGAATGAGAAGGAGACGGCTCTGAGCTTGCAAGAGGCAAAAGAGAAGTTGCGAGCCGAGGCAAAACTCCAGAAGAAACAGCTGAATTATACTCTGTTTATCAGAGTATTTCAGGGATGGGATCCTCTTCGGAATCCCTCACATGGGTTGGAAGTTGTTTCACGATGGAAATCTCTATTGCACGGGCAGTATCTTTTGGAGTTGCCACTAGGGGTGTGCAAAAGAACCGGGACCCGCACCGCCCGGAACCGGTGGTTCCCAAGGGAACCGGTCCGATTCCCGGTTCCAATTTTTTGAAACCGGTACTGTTTGGGCCGGTTCTCGGTTCCCGGTGTGGAACCGCCCACCCGCCCACCCGGACCGGACCGGTAATATAATAATAATATATTTTTATTTTTTTAATTTTTAATTAAAAAATCTGACCAAAAAAAATTAAAAAAAAAGAAGAAAATTTGTTATCATGTCTGAAGCTCTTGTGTAGTTAGGATACCTTGGTCATTTTTCCCAATAATTAATGGGTACCCACTTGATTTATGGATGATGTGATTAATATAATCGATCATAGTGTAGGAATTGTATGAAAAGTTATGTTCTTTTCCTTTTGTACTATTGATCCGATGTTGGTCCACGGATTTTTTTTTTTATTTATCTGGGAAAACTTGTTGAGACCGGTTCCATGGACCCGCCCAAAAACCGGACTGGACCGGCGGTCCGGTTCTCGGGCGGGTCCATGGAACCGACGGGCGGATCTCGGTTCCAATTTTTGGAACCGGTCTTGTAGCGGGCGGTCCACGGTTCCGGGGTGGGAACCGCCCATCCGGACCATGCACACCCCTAGTTGCCACTGACTTATCGCGGCCGGTTGGACCAAGTGAATACGAACCAGATATCTATTGGGGACTTAGTTACGCTAACATTTAATTAGCGCCTTTATGGTTCCTATTCTTATTTTATTTTGAAGATGTGAATCGTGCGGTATTGTCTATTTTTATTTCAAAAGCATGCTTAAACTAAGTGACCCTGCACCAATGGTTGCACGATCAACATTAATTCAAGCACGTAAGGTAATCGACACATCATAGCAAGATAAGAGAAACCTCAAATCGAGATAAGAGTATGAAAGTAAAGACTATGAAATTTAATGTGCAAGATAGTAAAACCCCATGCACTTTCGGGCAAAGCATATGTACATCACCTTGTTATTAAAAACTGAGTTGGGAATCCCGTGAGCTAAGTTTGAATCTAAACATGACAATTTTCTACCTTAAACGATGATAATGAGACACTAATAAAAATAGGATGCGGTGAAACGTAATACTCAATTTTAAATCTGAATGCAACTTCCATTTTTGGTCATTTTCTCATTTATCATTTTTTCGTCATTTTTTGTTGACAATAAAGAGTAGTTTCCTTGTTAGGATGCACAATAACGGTTAATATGCAATTAACTAGCAATGGGGATCGAAAAGAATACACAAACTACATGTCTTATTCATAAGTTCATAACAAATATATGAGCAGAATAACATCAAAATGGACGAGCCATTGGCATTTATCCAGGTCAAAGTGAAGACAACTAAACCAAACCCGACCATCGGATCTCCTTGAATGAATGGGATTGTGTGAACGCATGATTCTTTTCGGAAGAGGTCCATACCTAGGTTTGACAACGATATTCACTCATCAATCACAAATAATACCTCTAATAGCTTATCGACTACTCGTGACTTGGATATCTCTACATTATGTAGTGTCGAAAAATCCACAAGGATACTTCCTTAGGTCTCCGTGATTTGTAATTCCAGAGAGTCTTTATGCTAATCTGTTGGCACAAGATATATGTATACAAGAGAAACAAATGCAGCAAATGGCCTATAATCAATGACGACGTTGCCCAGGAGTGAGGAGCCCACCAATTTCCTACACCGCATTATAACGGAATGAAACAACGCATAATATCGATACAAATAACCACGAAGCAAAGCAGATCCAAATAAAAATTTATTCGACCCCCTAGAACACCAGAGCACGTAATTAACAGATCGAAATTGACAAGACTGAATCATTGACCGATTACCCTTGTTACCAAATGGAATAACAATATAAAGAACAGCGGTTAAGCTACGCAACAATAGGTCGCCGATCAAAGTTTATGAGGGCAAAGAGTGTCGTTGAATAGCAAAAGCAATTACTACTTCGAAACAAGACGAGCATGTCCAGGTTTTTCGAATGATTGCTTACCCTTTCGGACAAAAGAAGGCAGGAAAAGGACGAAGGAGACATGAAGCTTTCTGAGGCTAATACCAAACATCACAAGCAGAGTTAATCAGAGTGATAACAATGGTCTCATCCTGCGCCTACGACATTATACTGAGCATATGTGTCATGTATACCTCATTTTTTCTGTGCTTATGTTGACACCGCAGTGATAGCACCTGAAAAGGAGACTTGAGTGAACACCAGTTAGATTTGCGACAACACAAACTAGCCACTCCTTGACGACAATGCATTCAAATAATGCAACCAACACACTGCATTAAGAAATTAGTGACTGCAAATCTGAAAAAGCAGAGGATGAGGAAGTACTTTGGTTGGAGGAACGTACCTGAGATGTTACACAGTTCATGAGCAACTCATTTCGTACGGCGGTGGACGATTCTCGTGTCCGATAGATCCTGAGGGTGATGAGCGATTTTAACGAGGCCGGATCCGTACAGCTTCTTCCCGGTGGGATGGGGGACGCCTGCATAGCGAAATTGAATGTCATGAACTCCACTACAGGCCTGAGACCACAGAAAGCAGCGCTGACTTCAACTCCAGCGAAACCAGCCTCTGTGATTGGAGTATCAACAACCCTCTCAGGTCCATACTTGTTCGAGAAAAAAGAACCTTTAAGACACCTTGTAAGGCTCCTAGGTATTCTCCGACCTCCTCACCACAAATTACAAAGACTGACTTCTGGATCTGCAGGCATTTCCTCATCCAGCGCTGTATTCAGACCCTCTCTCACAGTCATCTCTTTCGCTGCGGTAGCATAACTCTGTAAACATGTCCCTGCAGCAACAACTCTTCCACAACCTCTCTCTGGCGAGGACACAGCATCCGAGCCTCCTCCGGCAGTGGCATTTTGTCTTAGAATCTTGCGCTCTCGAACTTGAACTTGCTCCCACCGCCAGGTAAAGCTCGCTGATTTACTGTGTCGCTTGAACAGGTAGTCTTTGAGACCAGCTTCGTCATTCCATCGAACTCCTTCCTTGCGAACTCGATACCTCCTCCACAGTGCAACTGACAGCAATGGAATTTCTGGAAGACAGCGTGAGGATGGGAGAAAACAAAAGCGAAACAGAAATCAACAGATAAAGTTGGAATCTATCGAAATGAATTCTAGAGTTCAATCGGAGATGAAACGACCTGGTAAGCGTGACTGTTGATCGATGAATTCCGTCATCACCTGAATGTCATGAGGAACTGTGGAGATTTCTCTAGGCATATCTTCCTCTGTTTGTTGTTTCAAAATCGTCTCGCCCTCTGTTCCTCTCTTGCGCAATTCACCGAGCACCTTCTGCTCAGAGGACGCAGCACATTCAACGACCAGTAAACTCCAGTGGTCAAGTTCGACCGTCATGGTGGCTAAACAATGAAGGACGATCCCTTGGGAGATAGGCGATGCGGTGGGAAGGTGATCCTCATCTCTCTGTCCATCTTCATTTTATCAACAAAGTCTTCCTCCATTATTATTTTCTTCTCTCAAGCTCACCGTCTCCACCATCACTATCGTCAAGCTCTTTCAAAGCGTGGCTGTTCAATCATGTACAAGCGCAGAGTGTCCGGGAGGATTCATCTAGCAACATATTCAGGAAAAGCAAAAGAGCAACTCTTAAGTATTCCGACAGATCATGGCCAGTGAAGCTCGTTAGGAGCTGCAGACGCGTCAGAGGGGTTATGTCTCTGTCCTTTCTTCTGGTTGACGTGCACTTCCGAGAGAAACTCATGCGTGCAAGAAATGTTTGCTTGTTTGAGCTAATTGATAGGGATGACATTGCGTTCAAACTCTCCATTTTGAGCGGTATCAGTAAAGACTTGATTTGCATTGTTTGAAATGAGTACTCGACGCGTCAGTTTCGACTAGTTATGGCATGACTTGAGTTCTGGGTCTAAAATTATGCCTCCCATGTTTTGTTGTGCTGCATCACTAACAAGTACACTTTCATTTTCTTTTTTTTATTTAAAAATACACTCAAAATCGTTTTAATAAAACTTTTGTGGTTTGATTGGTACGTAATGAATTCTAGTTAGTTTGTCTCTTCTTAGTTGAAGACACTTGTAACATGTATTCCATTAAATTGTCTCAATTTTGATTGTTATGATAATCATAATTTCCAATCTCTACAGAGATCCTTTCATAGTAAGTCTATTGAAGAAACGCTTATACTAAAGACTAATAAAGTTCTCATTTTTAGTTTAGCGCAGGAATAACAGTCTAAACATAAAATTGGACATCTCCAAAGCCGGACCATTCTAAGCCATTTTTTCGTGGTCCTACACCTCCAAAGCCCCTCACTTCGGAACATCCCTTTTTCAAAGTGGTGATACGGCAAGATCATGAGAGTAAAGTGGTAAGATCTCTAGCCTAATTCATCAGTGGTATGTCTGAAGTTCAATTACGATGGCTATAAATCATGCCTCGATATTATGTTTTCCCAAGTTGATTTGGTTTGTATAGGGAACCATATGACATGTTATTTTTCTCAAAGTGTCCGGGGGAAATCCTAATGATGGAATAGCATGGAACCAGGAAAAATTGAATAAGTAAAGACAGTAATCAGGTCGGGACTGCCTTGGATATTCTCCACAAGCTGCTCTATTTACATCCAAGTGAAAGAACGGGCACTCACTTGAATGGTGACCTAATTGAAAATAGCTATTAATGGACAGCCACTTCTTCAAGAATGCTTTAGATTGCAGGTTAAGATCGATGAATTTCATGAGACTATTAAGGCTGTTGTTTAAAACTCCTGAACTAGCAAATATGGGCATGAATCTACATCATGTGCTTTTTTCCACATCAGTGTATGCTTTATGTGATGTCCTCCTTTTAGCATACAGTGGTTTTTCCACACATGTAGCTATGTGCCGGACGTTCCTAGTCGATTTGCAAAGCAACATATTCAAGAAAACAAGGAAATGGCGACTCTTAGGTTTTCAGAAAAATCGTGTCCGGAGAAGCTCTTAAGCTACATGCATGAAACGTGGGTATTCTTCTCTGCTGGTTGGCCTGTTTTTGCAAGACAACTCATCTTAGTATGGGAAAGATCTGTGTTTGAGCTCATTGATAGGGATGATGTTGTGTTCCGTGTGTCCTTTTTCAGTAGCTGGTAAGGAGATTTACATTGATTAAGATGAACATAGGGAAGTCTTACTCTAAGCCATTTGTATCGTCGATATGAACTCAGGATTCCTAATTATGCCTCCTTTGTTCAGTAGTTGGGAATCAATGAAAAGTAGACTCTTTTTCTGTTTAAGTTTTCTTCTTTTGTGCGCTAGTCTCAATTCTGTAACTTCCAGTTTAGAAGAAACTCTTATATTCGGTGCTTGTTTAAGTATTTTAGTAGCTCAACCTGACATAAAGAACTAATGAAGTGTCATAATGTCAATTAGACTTTCCTTGAGCAACCAGTAGATTTACCAGGTCAATTTCTACTTACATGACATTCTTTTCTTCATCTCTTTTCAAATTCTTGAAGATTTATGCAAGTATTTTTGCATGTCGGTGCAACTTGTAGTTTATTAGTTTCTTCTGATATGAAGAGCATTTAGCACTTATTCCATCAAATTAACTGAATTTTGATTTTCATCATAACAGTAATTTCCAATCTATGAGAAATCTTTTCATAGCCAGTCAATTAAAGAGATGTTTACACCACCGTCTAGTTTAGTTCTCGTGTTTCACTACAGGTGGGATCGAGCATTCTACATGCAAAGTGAGCTATTCTAAGCTGGATTTTCATGGTCCTACACTTTCAAGGCCTCTCCCATCTCCTGAATTGGCTAGTGATGTTGAATTGGAGCAGCCCTTTTTCAAACTGGTGATCCTGCGATGTCTTACCGATAGCCCACTAAGATCTAGAGCTTAAATCATCGCTGTTGTATCTCATGTTCAATTTAACAATTTTCAAGTATAAGCTGTTCAAAACATGTACATGTCCAAGGTGCTCCGGTTGGATTCGCCAAGCAACATATTCAGGAAAACAAACAAATGTCATCTCTTCAGTATTTGGACAGATCCGTGGGCAATGAAGCTCATTAGGAGCCATGGACGGGCTAGAGGGACGTAGTATCTGTCCTCTGCCGATTGGCGGGCATTCGCGAGAGAAAGACATCAGTCACAGATTCTTGTTAGACATCAATCACAAATAATACCTCTGATGGCTTATCGACTACTCATGACCCGGGTATCTTTACATTACTGTGCTTTTTCCCCCCATGTAGTGTCGAAATATCCACGAAGATACTTCCTCAAATCTCCATGATTTGTATTTCCAGAGAGTCTGCATGCTCTAATCTGCTGTCACTAAAAACATGTATACAAGGGAAACAAATGCAGCAAATGGCCCATAATCAACGATGTTGCCTAGGAGTGAGCTTCAGGAGTTCACCATTTTCCTACACTGCACTATTACAGAATGAAACAACATATAAGATTGATGCCAATAACCATGAAGCAAAGCAGATCCAAATAAAAATTCATTCAACCGCTAGAACAGCAGAGCACATGATTAACAGATCAAATTCAACAAGACCGAATCATCAACCAATTACCCTCGTTACCAAATGGAACAACAATTTAGAGAATAGCGGTTAAGCTACGCAATAATAGGTCAACAATCAAAGTTTATGAGGGCGAAGAGTGTCATTGAATAGCAAAAGCAATTACTACTTCATATCAAGACGAGCATGTCCAGAATTTGCGAATGATTGCTTACCCTTTCGAACAAAAGAAGGCAGGAAAAGGACGAAGGAAACGTGAAGCTTTCTGAGGCTAATACCAAACATTACAAGCTGAGCTAATCAGAGTAATAACAATGGTCCCATCCTGCGCCTACGTTATTAAGTACACCTCATCTTTCTGTGCTTATGTTGATACCGTAATGATAGCAACTGAAAAGGAGACTTGAGTAAACACCAATAAAATTTGCGACCATGCCAACTATCCACTCCCTGACAACAACGCATTCAAATAAAGCAACTAACCCACTGCATTAGAAATTAGTGACGACAAATCTCAAAAGCAAGAGGATGAGGAAGAACTTTGGTTGGAGGAACATACCAGAGATGTTACACAGTTCATGAGCAACTCTCATTTCGTACGCCATGGACGATTCTCGTGTCCGATAGACCCCGAGGGGTGATGAGTGATTTAACGAGACCGGATCCGGTAAAGCTTCCTCCAAGTGGGATGGCGACGTCCTCGCAGGGCTTGGGAGTGTCGGGCACCAACTCCTGCTGCAGCTCCTCTTGAAACTAAAGACACCTTGTAGGCTCGACTTCAACTCCAGTGAAACCAGCCCCTGTGATAGGAGCATCAACAACCCTCTCAGGTCCATACTTCTGCAAAAGAACCTTTAAGACACCTTGAAAGGCTCCTTGGTATCCTCCGACCTCCTCACAACCCATTAGATTGACTCTAGGATCTGCAGGCATTTCCTTATCAAGCGCAGTATTCAGAGCCTCTCTCACAGTCATCTCTTTCATCGCACTAGCATAACTCTGTAACCGCGTCACTGCAGCACAACTCTTTCGCATCCTCTATCAACACTACACAGCATCCGATCCTCCGGCTTTTGTCCGAGAATTGACAACATCTTGCGCTCTCGAACTTGAACTTGCTCTCGCCGCCAGATAAAGCTTGCTGATTCTCTCTCTCTCTCTTGAAAAGGTATTCTTCAGAACAGAGTCCGGCTTCGTCATTCCATCGAACACCTTCCTTGCGAACTCGATTCCTGCTCCGCAGTGCAACCGACGGCAATGGAAATTCGGAATACGGCGAGAGATTGGGAGAAAACAAAAGCCAAAACAGAAATCAACAGACAAATTTTGGGATGAATCTAAAATATTTCTAGAGTTCAATCGGAGACGAAACGACCTGACTGTTCATTGACGATTTCATCATCGCCTGATTGTCACGAGGAACCAGCCGTCTGTGGAGATTTCTCTAGGCGTATCTTCCTCTGTTTGTTGTTTCGGAATCATCTCACCCTCTGTTTCTCTGTAGCGCAATTCACCGAACGCCTTCTGCTCAGAGGACGCAGCACATTCAACGACCTGGAAACTCCGGTGGTCAAGTTCGACTGTCGTGGTGGCTAAACAATAATGAATCACGATCCCTTGGGAGATAGGCCACGCGATGGGAAGGTGAACCGCGACGGGCGACAGGTCGCGACGGGGAGTGCGGAGAAGCGCCAGTGGAAGCCCGTCATCTCGCCACAGTTGCGAGGCGAGCGACATCTTCAAACCGGAACCGACGGTTTTCGTGCATTGGGTGGGTGCTGGAGGCAACGAACGGCAGAGAGCTCGATCTGGACGAATGGCTGGGCGGTGCTTCCCATCGGCGGTTGCAGTGAATCATCGTTAGCTAGAGGGATCAATCCACCCTTCATTCCATTGGAGTCGAGCCATCTCTCTCGCTTTCCACTCTCTCTCTCTCTCTCTCTCCATTTCTCTCCGTCCATCCTCATTTCCCACCAAGTCTTCCTCCATTTTCTTTTTTTGTTCTCCTCTCTCTCTCTCTCTCACGCCGCGACCGCCGCTGCTGTACCATCAGGTCGTTTCGTATGCGATTGAATCTTTGGGTAGATTTTCGGCTTGTTTGCCGCTCTTCGGATTCCATCGAGTCAATCGTTTCGTCCCGTCTAAGCCGCGCGCAAAGGGGGGGATGGGATGTGGGCTGGTGATTGCAAGAGCTTCACCCGATCATTGACCGGAGGCCACTCCCACCGGTCCGGCGCCGCCTCATCAACCGGCGACGACGGTATCCGAGGCCAAATCGAGAGTCGTCATCGCCCGAGACGATAGGCCGGAGCGTGAAGATGGGCGGCGGCGCGGAGCTTGAAGGGAAAACGACGAGAATAGAAAAAGGAAAGATTCATCCAACGACTCAAAAATTATCTTTTTTTTCTTTAAAAAAAACACCCAAAATTTCGAATTATATGCATTGTGATAAATTTACTTGGCTTTCTAAAATTCAAAATTACGTCAACTATGACAAACTTTTTCTTTTGACATCAAAAAAACCCAAAATTTGTAACATATGTGACACATTAAAGTGTCACGGTCAACATAGTTTCAGGTTTTTGATAGTTTTTTCCTCTTTTTTTTTCCTAACTCCATCAATAATTGGGAGAATACACCAATTTCTCTCACGGAAGCAACTCCATCCACTTGCCATCTACCGACCGCTGTTGAGCCACCACCGGGCTCCCGTTGCCCGATCCCTCCTAGATGTCCTCGGCATGGAGGCCGATTTGAGGTAGTATTCCTTGTCATTCTAGGAGTTGGATTGCTTTTATTGATACACTATTGGATGAGATGACCGCATTACTGTGTCTTCTAATGTCATGCTCACCCATTCCCATGCTATTAGTTTGTGTTGAAGTTTCGCTTGTTGAGTATCAATTTTGAATCCGACTTGATCTCGATTCATTCGTCTCTTATTGTCGTTGCTCATATGTGCTCATTTCCCTATTACTGTTAAGGAAGGCATTTTCGTCTCTAGATTGCTCATATGTGGTATTCGCAGCTTGAAATTCGCTTTTGTAAATCGCGTGAGCTTATCGTCCGCGGTCTATTCTAGCTTAAATGAACATTGTTTGATGTCATATGTGAAAGGAAAATTCCACATTTACTTCTCGCGATCTCAACTCCGTAGAAATGTTTTTTAATTTTCCATAGGTCTTTCGATTCGAGATTTCTATTTAAATTTCTCCGTATTGAAAAATTAACCCAATGTCGTTACCGGTTGATGGGCGTACAACGATGAATAGCGTCGGGAACGACGGGATTCCAAAGATTTCTAGCGGATCTTCAGCCAGGATAGGGCTGTGGCTTTTAGCAAATAGGTTTGGGGGTAGAGGGGGCTGCAGCTTCTACGGCCTAATAATTGGTGGATAAAATGGGCCGGAGCCAACGACGGGCTTGATGCGCTTTGACGGACTTGAAACAAAATTTTTATCATGTGGGAGCTATTTGAGTTGGGCCACGAACCAGAAAAAGCCCCCTTTTAAACGGCCATCGATTTTCTAATTAGTTTATTATGTATTTATTTATCTATTCTTTTTCGCTCCTTTTGTTGTTGTTTTTTCTATTCTCTGTTTTTGTACTTCCACAGGGACGGACGCTTGCATTGTCGACAAAAATTCAGGTGTTGACAACATACATGATAGTATTAAGGTTATCATTTGCGATTTTTTGAAAGTATTGGTCAAAGAAGTTCCCGAGCAGTCACTAAGCCACGTCAACTTAAGGTCAATAAAGTGAAACGGCAGAAACAAGAAATTAAAGATAAATTATCACTTTAAATTAGATTCAATGGCCTAAACTTGTTCAACAATTAACTAATTACATTTAGAAAGCGGAGAGAGGTGAAGAGTGGTAGTTATTGATGATTTTTCACTTTTTAAGTAACGATGAAAAGTTACCCTTGGATTGAGAGACCAAAAGAGGAATCTCTTCCTCAAAATGCACAAATTGGTTAACGTCTATGCAAACCTTACTCTGTCGTATCCTTGTATTTAAATGAGAATTTATGTAAAATAGCTGGCTAGTATGACCCCTTGTCATGCTAATCAAGTTACTACATACAGCCAATATATAACCTTATTCCTCTCACAACGAGCATACATGGAGGCCTACTAAGAGTGAAACTAAGTCAAACTATTCACGTGCTGTTCGAGCTTAGGTTGATAATTATTTGAGATCGGCTGGATTGATATCTAGTCAAGCTCCTACTCAAATTACTCGAGTATCTTGTCAAACTAAAGCTCGAGCTCGCCAATACTCGATTCAACAAGCTTTAGAACCTAAATAAAAAAATATAATTGTTATAAGATAAGAAATAGACATCCTTAGCCACGCTCATGTATATGTAATATCTCGACTTTTTATTCGAGTCAAGCTCCAACATGAAATTTATACTTGGTCAAGGTTGAGTAATAGAGTTTTGAACATCGGGTATGGAGTTGAATGGATCTCAAGCTAGGCATTATAACGGCTCGATTAGACCCCTAAGTTGGGCCATGTTGGCACTTGAATTTCGCTATCAAATTCCATATTCATAGAAAATCATTTTAGAGATTAGACTCGTTGTCAACAGCAAAATTTCACCCCTCATAAAAAAATATCATTTGCATGACTCGGTGTCCATTTTCCCAACTACATCCCTTTCATATTTAGATACTAGACACGTCTTAGATTTAGAGGATCATGGATTTCGCGTCGATAAATTAGGAATTATTAATGCATTCCGTCGCGATCAATGGTCGAATTCTTCGTCGAAATTCAACCCTTAATCAAAGACGCCGTCGTTTGGTCATCCTCCATTTATTTTTCTCCATCTAGTTTCTTCTGCATTTTTTAATCTGGGGACGTTGAAGTTTAGAGACCTCTGGGCCCGACATTGAAAGTTTTGCTCGACGGAGGCGTGGAGGCCGGTCAACACCAAGAGCCCAAGTTGACTTTTATGATGAAGCCTATTTTGACTTTTTGAACCACCAAACCGGGCCCATCAAAATATAATTTGTTAGAACGACATCTTCCCCGAGCATAAAAATGAATGGACGACATCTCTACAGATTTTCTTGAAGGGATTCCATTGCACTGTGGCGGCACCAACGAGCTCTGTTTCTCTCCTTTTTCCTCTTCGTTCTCTGCTACCTGCTCTGCTGAAATTCGAGGAGCTCCTCCTCCTCCTCTCTCTCCATCGCCGCCGTAGCTGCTCATACTTGTTGCCGAGCTCCCTCACGCCGGTCCTCCACCAACTCCGCCACTGCTCACCTCCACCTCACCATTTCTCTCTCTTTCTCTCTCTCCTCTGGTCTTCTTCTTCATCTCCATCTGAATCAGCTGGACGTCATTCTTGTTGGGACTTTGGAATCCAAAAACCCATATAATTGAATGAAAAGTGTGTGGATGAAAGTGTCTCACATAGAATAAAAGAGAGATGAGAGATGGGTTCAAATAGTTGAGCCTCACAAATAGGTTTGGGCCTCAAGGGGTACCCCACTTTTGTGGAAGGGAGAGGACCTACGCCAAGCTAGGTCGGTCCCCCGCCGCCGCCGTCCATCCGGCTAGCTCGGTTCGGTTCGGTTTCACCCTCTATCGGTTTTTTATTTTTTCCGAACAGAGGTTCGATTCGCTCAAACGAAAAACCGAAGCCCTTCGTGACTGTTCACGAACCCAACCGGTTCAAGTGAACCTTCGCTACTGTTCACGAAAAGCTCGTAACTCTTCATTTTCGCCACTTCAATATAACCGAACAGTTAAGTTCGGAAAGGTGACACTTCGTGGCATATATACTCCCGCGAGACATTTTCCCGACACACTTATGCATATTCACTTCATCATTGTCATTTTGTGCGATTGTTCTGCAAAAATTGCGTTCGTAGGAGTCCTCCGAATACGTACCACTTCGGAGAAACGAGATCCGTTTTATCCTGGAAGACGATTGTCCAATATCCTTGGGTACTGATTGAGGGGCCAAATTCGTCTTAAGGACATGGCGTTATTTCGTTGGGTTTGGATCAACATTTTGCTTATTTGTTTGTACTGCTGCTTTCTGGTTTGTTTTCTTGACATTTAATTTCAGTTTCTAGTATACGAACATAACCGACAACACTCTTAAGACGAATTTGCTTCGGTTCTGTTCGTATATTCTTATGTGTTGTTCTGTCAAATATCTAGATTGGCCTTCCTTTAAGTCGAACTTTTGTATAGTTCGTATGTTCCTTGTCATAGTCGTATAGGAATGCGATTCTGTTCGTATATTCTATTTATACATTCTGTTCGCACATTCTGTTCATACATTTTGTCCTTATTAAAATTTTCAATTCTCTTCGTGAACAAATTTTTCGTTTTCGTTCATATTAAAAATTTTCAATTCTGTTCATGAACAAATGATTCTGTTCGTAGTCATATATTACCGATTCTTTTCGTGAATATGTTCTGTTTTTATATTTCAGAAATGGCTTCGGCTTCGACTCCGGTTAACCCTATTCCGAATCATGGA